TAGACACCATATATGGTGATCCCCCCCCACTCGACGGCAACATATCCAGTGCCCTTGTCTCTTAGCGACAAGGGCGGGGAATGAGCCGTCGTGGAACCGACGACTGCCACGGAGCCGTCCCAGTCACCCATCCAGTTTGGACGGGGAGGGACAGAATAGGGCTCCGCGACTACGGCAACACCTATCGACCACTGTGCCATGGTTTGCAGGAAGAGATCCTGCGCCGCGGCACAGTGGTTCAGGTTCGTCTGGACCAGGAGGTTGGAGACTTGATCCATTACTGGATCGTCTCTACAACCTCCTCCATGGGCGACGACGTCGACGCACGAACTACATCGGAGGCAGCCTGGGTCGACTGGCTAACCCCCGACGTCTGCCGAGAACTGCGGGGAGGCTTGCAGCCTCTCTGCCCCATCTGGTGATTGGCGGGCTTATTGCCCGCCGCACACACTGGGCAGTGAGGGGCGGCAGAGCATTCTGCCGCCTTATGCCCCGGTTGACCGCATCGGAAACACAGTCCGCCGCAGTCAAAACAACTGTCGCACTTGACGCGCGTGTGTCCCGATGCTAGGCATTTGTAGCATCTCATCGGTCTCGCCGCCAGGACTGTGATCCTGGCGCTCACGAAACCGATGAGCAGCCTGCCGGCGTCGGCCAATACTTTGGCCGACGCTACGGGACAGCTGACCCACACGGCGCCAAGCCCTCCTGGACCGGGGCGGATGGTGCCGACCCTGACGTTGTCCGCGCTGCACCCCGTCTTCTCCCGGATTACAGCGCGGACATCTTCGGCCGTCACTGAGTCGTCCAGGCCCGAGATGCGCAGTTCCGCGCACTTGGTAGGCCTGGCGACCCTGACACCATCTGTGGCTGCAAATATTCCCCGCAGCTTCTCAGCGAAGGAGTCCGCCGTCTTTGCGCCTTCGGCCCCAGGGAACTCGAGAACTCGAGCTCCCGTCTGGGCGAGGCGCATCCTGACCCCCACCGTCCCAAACTCGTTGGCAAGGCTGTCCCGGGCCTTCTTGAAGACGGCCGCATAGGACAGCCCGCCGTCAGCCGCCTCCGGGGACACGGTCACAACTACAGCCGCGGTTTTGGGCGGCTGCAGCTTCCGCGGCCTCTTTGCAGAGGCCGTTGCCACCGGTGGCGAAGGCTGGGCTTGGACTGCTTTTTGGGCAGCCTTTCTGGCCCGCCTTCGGGACTTCTTGGAGCCCCTCGCCTCCTGCCAACCCTCGTTGGAGGGGGCAGGTGCGGAGGGGCCCGGCAGGGGTGTCGGAGTGGGGAGCGGAGGGAATGCCACTCCGCTCCTCGGCGCCGTTTTAGGCCCCGTCTTGGCCGGCGCCTGGGGATGTGCCTTGGCCGGCGCCTTAGCCGGTGCCTTGGCCGGCGCCTGGGCCGGTGCCTTGGCCCCCCTCCTCGTCGGCTTTTGTGGAGCCGACGGAGTAGGGGCAGACGCCGCCGCCGCGTAAGAAACGCGGCCTCCCACAACGGGGAGCGCGGTCGGAGCGGCGGCCTTAGGCCGCTGTGCCGACGCGAGCGGGGGGCGCATAATCGGCGCAGGAGGCAATCTCGCCTCCAGGCCAGCCAGGCGTCCGTCCAGCATATTCCCAACTGCGATGAGGATTTCTCGCAGTTGGGAGTCAAATGCCCCTGAGTTGGTGGTAGGGGCAGGCTGGGACGCGGACGGGGCTTTCCGCTCGGGGAGGTTCGCCTGGAAGCGGGCGAACTGAGCGCTCAGCTCGTTCACCCGCTCCGTCAGCTTCTCGTTGGCCACCTGCAGGCGAGAGACGTCGCCCGCTAGGCCCTCCACGACCTCCGACAAAGCGGAGGAGGAGTCCTTAAGGGCCCTCACAAACGAGCCCTTAAGGTTCACGGATTTGGTGGCCACCTTGTTGATGACGGCCACCGCCGCTTTCGCCCTCTCCTGCACGGACACGGGAGCCTGGGGGGCATTTCCCCCCACCGGCTCCCGAACCTTGAGCAGGAGATCCGCGATCTCCTCCTCCGCTACGGCCTCGCCGTCTCGCCGTCCACTCGTACGCTCCTGTAGGACTCCGCGTTTGAGAACGCGGAGCCTGACGGTACGGACGCAGGTACCTCGGCTTGGAGTGCGCTCGCGACTGAACTTCCCATCAGCCATGCATCCCCTGGCCACGCACCAGAACACGGGATTCGGGGAATTTTTTAGAGAGGTTATCTTCCTCGCGGTCCGGGCGGTTAAGCCAAGACCCTCGCCCCCGATCAGAGCCGCGAGACTTAACCACAGCGCTCTTCTCGGGATTGCGATATGCCGACGGTTGACAGGGAGACTACGTCCCCCTGCCTGCTCGGTGGTAGTGTGAGTACACGCCGAGCCCGTCCTCCTTTCTCCACCGCTATCAGCGGAGAAACTGTGGCCCCTACAGGGCCCCACCATCAGGTTTTTTACCGAGGTTTCCTCCTCCATGCTCCGAAGAGCGAAGAGCCAGCAGGGCAACCGGCAGACACGCCCACCCTGCTGGACCAGGCCTTGCCCGAGAGCCGATGAACGGCTGCCTCTTCTGCTAGAATATTGGCCGCTGGCGATAATCCTCTCCTCCAAGAGGACAAGGAGGAAACAGTACCATCGCCAGCGTTTCCAGGGTGCACCACGAGGAGGTTTTCTAGCCCAGCACCCCAAACCCTATACCAACCCATCTGGCCAGCGTGGTATAGTGGGCCAAAACCTTCTTTCTAAGGAGAGGCCTATGTCCAGCAGTGGACTATTAAAGGCTGTTGATGATAAATCTACATAAATTATGGAATTGTATTGAATCTGTGAGATAGTTATCTTAAGAGTAAGAATGATGAGTTCCATTTTAATTAATACTAAAATAACCGTGACTATGTACCATTAACATTTTTGAAACATTACACAAAACAATGGCAATAGTTAGAATTAGTTTTTAATTAATTAGATTTGCATGTTGTATAAATTTTGACTGAAGTTGTTTGTTCTAAAAAATGTAGCACATGAGGTCTTTTGTACGTATCTAGCTTTGAATTTTTTAAATATGAAAAGAAACTGACAAATTATCATCTATTTCACTAGATCATTCAAAAAGTTACAAGTTACATTTATATTAATTGCCTGGTAAAACATGAGAAAATTTCCAGGCATAAAAAAACGTAAATGTGTTTAATTTTTTTGCATGCAGTAAAAATTAAAAAGATATTTTTTAATCATATACGAGTACTTTGTAGCTTTAGTTTGATAGAGGAAAAATTATTTATTATACAAAAATTTAATTCAATACATTGCGATCTGCAAAAGTGCATAAAGTGTTACTTACATGAATATGAGGTCTGGAATCATAAAAAATTATCAATCTTAATCTAAAATGAAATACCGTAAATCTACTTTAATAACCGACGCAAAAGCAACAGCGACGGGGTGTTATGTTTTAAGTTTACTATGTCTGTGTGTGTGTGTGCTGTCTCTGGCATCGTAGCTCCCGAACGGACGAACCGGTTTTTTTTTTGTGATTGAAGAGTGTTCTTAGCTATGTATAATGAAAATCGGTCCAAGATGGCCGCCGATACAAAATGGTGGATTACATATTTTTTCACAACTCCTACTATTAGTAGAATAATATACACTATGACTTTCAAATCCAAGATGTGTGTCGGTTTTTTTAATAATTAATTAAATTTTTATCGTCTCAGAATTCAAAGGCTTTGACTGTTCTGAAAACCTGTCTGTTCAATCCAAATCAAAATGACTTGCCTGCAAAACCTTGGACAAACATACTTTTTTTAAGTAGTTCACTTGATTGTAAACCGATACAAAGAAATAAAAGATTTTATGTTCAGGATATGACCAGAGATTATTCAACTTAAAGGAAGTATTTCAATTATATTAATGCCTGAATGATTGTTTAAAGATATAACGTTAATGTAGCTTATTGTCAAGGTCAACGTCTAATACCTCATGTCAGACGTTTTTTCTTGTTTAACTGTTTTGCACCAAATTACATAAAGTTTTCCGACGGTTTTTATTTAAGTTTTTCTGATTCGTCTGTATTCTGTGCTATTTTTATTTTTTATTTTATTTTGTTCGGAAAACATACAGTGCATATAACAAAGGATACAACATGTGTTAACACTATCCACCATTTACATGTTTTCGCAGTTATACATCTAAACAGCTTGTGATGTTTTAACAAATGTCTAATGTGTTGCTTGATCAATATTTTTTTCGGGTCAAAACAGATATTACGAAATGAATACTTTATAATATTTGGACGTACATTGTGATAATTTTCTAACCTAGTCAGATTAGGTCACTACATTAACATTGTACAGACAAAACAGTATTAATATTATTCAACCTTTATTAAAAATGATTTATTTTGGAACAAGGTAGAAAAAGTAAAAGACCTCAATCTTTTTTTTTTATTTAAATAAAATATGTATACATTTTCTAAAAATTCTAATGAATAAAATAGAAACAACATAAAGCTTTGGTAAGAAAAAAATCCGATGCTCGATGTAAATCAAAATAATAACAAAAATTTCCTAAAAGTGCTTTAAGTGATAATTGTTTTATTATATTTTTACAATATTAAACATTGTGTTATAATCAAATAAAGGAAGATCATCAAAATGTGTTCGATTTACTCAATATTATGGCTAAACAAAACAAGGAAGATAATATTATCTCAGAAAAGCAAGGAAGATCTGGATCTACAAGTGGTTAACGAGTAGATAATTCGTAATTAGTCGCTCCTGGGAGTTTTTCTAGAACTTGTTTTAATGTACGGCGTCTCAATTGAGATCTCTAGTTTAGATCTCAAGAGAGTAAGGACCAATGGACTTTATTTGTAATCGGCTGTCTATGTTTAAGTAAAAATAATAATCCATAGCTTATTTTGTCGTAAACATCATATTATTATTATGTAGGCACTTCTGGATCCTATATCCTGTATTTTAATTGGACAGATTGGTAATTTAATTGTTAGTATTAAGCCGAAGTTTTTCTCTTACTCTTGCGGAAATAATTCGTCAACAGAAAAGTTTACAAAGTATGTGTTCAGTTTCTGTACAATTAATTTCACGAAGCTCTCGAGTATCGGAGACCGCAGGAGCATTTCGATACCTTTGTGGTTTTCATTAATAGCGATCTTTCCTAAATCCGCTGAAAAGACATTACAATGTTTAAATAAGTTTAATTGTAGAAATAGACAAACCTGCATATAATACTGCCATGGACAAAACTGACTCTCTCATCACCACTTCTTTCTAGTCAAATTTCAAATCTGAGACACTGAGAGTAATATGGATTACTGTACGTGTAAATATTGTAAATGATAATTAGATATAAACTACGTGTGCTATTTGCTTCGGTTACTACTGAAGCAAACTACTACGGTTGTTGGTATTCTGTTTATGAACTACTGTTCATAAACAGAATACCAACAACCGTAACAAACACGTTCTACTTAGCAAAGACTAGACTATCTAAATTGAAAATAAGTAATTCCATCTATTGTCATAACATGCACTTGACTCATGAATCCAAAAGTTACGAATCTATGTAACTTTTAAAAAATATATTAAAAATTAATCTTCATTAGAACCTCTATGTATTTTTGAAAAGAGTTGTGTGGTTTAAACTTACATTTAGCTTTGTCTGGGTTTATTAGTTCAGCAGATTCAAATCTAAGCTTCCCTTTTAGATCTGTATCTATAAAGTGACTAACAATAGATATGTGAGGTTTTAGGTCCTTTACTGAAATGAACTTTTTGAACTTTCCTTTAATTTTTATGTAGTAATCGTCTGAAAAAAACACAGGGTATGAAATTTAATATTAAAAAGACAAAAAGTGTTACTACATTTGAAGAAAAGGCTAAAGTATATTTATAAGTAAATAATAATATTTTCCTCTATTTAAGTCGTTTTATTAGAAAATATTTATATTAATGTACATACAAACCTAGAGCAATATTTGCATAACCTTGTCCATCTAATTCTATTGACGTTAAAATTACGCCTTTGACAACATAGTGGTAAGTGAAAACCAATTTCGGACAGTGTAAATCCAATTCAAAATCAAAGGATATTTCATCAGACCTGCAAAAATTAACTATTTACTATCTACACATAAAAAAAACTGTTTTATCTCAATGAGCTTAAATTATGGATGAAGTTCTTTAACAAAAACATTTAAAAATAAATAAATAGTAGTAAAATTGTACATTTTTACCCACGAATTTTACAACTTTATTAAAATTATATAAAGTTAACACTAATATACAATACTTTTGGCCGCATCTTCAGTCGCGTTTTTTTACAAAATGTTACTCAAGATTTTACTTTACAATTTCGTTCCTTCATTTGTTTAAATATTGTAGCAGTGTAGTAACACTGCTGAATACGTATATTCAAACAGTCCGACGGCTATTTCTACACATGATATCAACGTGTATAACTACTAATTTAATATATTTTGCAATTTTTAACAAAATTTTGAAACACTTGCAATTTGTACCAATTTCTAATTTATTATATGTGAAGAATACGAGTTTACGAAGCTAGTTATCTCTAACTTCTGTAGAAACTGAAAAACTTGCTGTCGCCGGAGCGATTGTTGATAAATGATACACTTCGTCCGACTATTTCTTACGAGACGGTAAGTCAAATACACAACGGTAAGCCCGAAATAGGAGCGTCATTGTAGTAGACTACCTATTGCTCATTTCTGTAGAAATTCTTGATATTGCAAAATTAAATATTGATAGGACCGGGAGATGTTTAGAACCCTCCCGGTCCGCCAGACCCGGAAACGGGACCAGAAACGGGAACAGGTATCGCAGACGACTTAGAGGCAGAACGACCTCCGTCTTTTATAAACGTGGACCTGCGGGTGACAGTTGGGTCTATCTGTCACCCTAGTAGAGAGGGGCTTTAGAGAGCAGGAAAGGAACATCGTAGTTCCAGAGGGGGTCCTCTACTTGCCGTAGATAGTCCGATGATAGGGATTTTGTTTCTAGTTTACGAGTATTAACTTACTTGAACAGCTCAACTGCACAATTTTTCAATCCATTCAGAGTTACATTTGTTACTTGATATTTTAATCCCGGAAAGTCAGCGTCAATCTTCTCAATATGCATGGGGTCAATTGGTTCAATAAGATCTTTGACCCCAGATACTAGAGAATTATACACATGTTGTGCTCCTTTAGTCATACATTCTGTGACGTTGTAAGTACATGTTGATTCGCCTAAAAAATTGTTCAGTTAAAAAAGCTGACTTATGACTACAAAACCTATTTAAGTATTTTATCGCATTTAAATATTAACTATATTTACTTACCTATATTTTGAATTAGAACGTTAGTGAACTTTTTCTAAAATTCTTGGTATGACAAAGAAAAAATAACAATAAAAAATATACTCGTATATACGATGGCTGTATTAAGAACCTTATTTTCTTTTTGACGTCTGTTAAAAACAAATGATAATAATTTACCTTTTGTCTTTTACGTTATCGTTTTTATGTGAAAGTATATGCGTATGGTTTTTTTTATGAAAAATCATAATTTGTACTTACTGTGCGCTGTCTTAAATACAAAAAATAAGAGGAGAAAAGAAAGAGATTTAACAAAAATCATTTTTTTCAGACAAACGTCTTCCGCGCCGACTGTACAAATTCAATAACTACGCCTCAAATTTATACTGCACTTTATATCTTATCTCTTGCAATTAGGGAATTATTTAAAAAAAACAATGTAGATAACGCGTAATGAGATTTTGTATGTAATATTTATATTTACCTAGAAAAGGCTAAAAGGTCCGACCATACACATCGGAATCTATTAGACTGTCTACATTTTTTTAAAGCTTGTTAATTATTTATAGAAAACAGGTAGGGCATTTTTTTTTGATTGGGACTAATCCCACTCACACGCCCACCACTATAACTCCTATACACCAGGATCCACAGCAATGACCCACGAACACACCGAAATCACACTCGGGAAATCATCCCCATAGTATACCGCCCCAGATGTCACCCGCAAGCTATTCAGCATTATATTACGTTCATTATACCAAAGACTACATTCCCAGAGGATATGAAGAGCAGACTGTTCATAGTGAGAGTTAGGTGTTGAGCATTGACACAATGGTGACTCGACTAATTTAAATGAATACAGCTTGCTCTTAAAGTTACCATGACCCGTAAGAAATTGAGCGACACAGTGATCCACCTCAAGCCATGTCCTCGACAACCGTTCGCAAACAGATGGAAAGAATTGGTAAAGATGGCGCCCCTTTGATGATTCGTCCCAGCGTTGTTGCCATTCGTCTATGAGGTCATTATAGACATCGGACTGCTGTTGAAGCAATCTTGTAATTTTACCACGCTCCCGCGCGCCCAAAAAATCGCATTCCATGTTTTGTTGTCTTGAATAGTACATGGCTGCACGTCTCTGCACCTCGAGATCGACCGGAAGCACACCCGCCTTGTAACAGTTTGCGACGGACAGCGCCTACGGTCGCCCTATCGGCCCATACAGGTGCACCATAGCACATAGAACCTAAATAAGTAGCTCCGTATTTGATCTTTAATGTATTAAATGATAGACCCCATGTTGCAGCTGATATCCTTTTAAATGCACAGAATCTCTTTTTAGACTTTTCATTAAATTTTTTAATATGTTCGATAAATGAAAAGTTTATTTCTAAAACTAATCCTAAATAACACACTGGGGTTTTATTTTTTACAGTGACATTGTCAAATCTAATGCTGGGCGGTGATTTGAGGTTACCTTTTAAAAGTAGCTGGAAGGTTTTGTTGGGTGCAAAAGTTAAGCGATTACATTCACCCTATTGAGATTTCAAGTTCAAACATCTATTGGCTGATCTCTCAAGTCCCGCCCTAGTATCAGATTCCACCAGTAATAAGCCGTCATCAGCATACGCGTTCAGAATACATCCGGATGGTATTGGTCGAAAATCGTCGAAGCCGATATTCCACAAGTATGGACCTAGCACCGATCCCTGAGGACATCCCATTGTAAGCGCCTTCGACACAGAATTATGACCAAGTCTTAGTTTAGTATAGTAACAGTAGTAACAGGTAGGGCATGTTTAAATTCCTGTTTTTTGTAAAGGCAAACATCCTTTATGTTTGCCTACAATACTGCAACTTTGCTAGTATTATTCATAAAATTCCTAGCTTTTCAAACACAAGACTTCCTGCTTCGGGTATGCCCGAAGCCCTTGCAAAAGCTGTGCTGTGCTGTGTATGTAGCAAAAGTATTTGCTGAAACAGCGTATGGTTAGTCGATTCTTTGATTCCGACATACTAACTCCCCGGTGAGGTGAGGTGATGACACGTGGTAGTTGCCATTAAAAAAAAAAAAACTATGTACATAAGCGAACTTTTTGCATTTTAATTATTGGTACTACCGAAATTTACGCAATTTTTAGCTCTGTGGACATTATTCTTACTTTGTATATTTATTTTGATTTGCTTCATCAAGAACATTTCTGATACGAAATTACAAAATAATAATATTTATTATTTTATGATAGGGGAATATTATTTAGTAAACAAACATACATATCGTCTTAATATATTTACTTTATTTGTGTTTAAAGATAAGAATATATAGACAGAAGAAAATAATCATATTTTAAATATTGGTATATGGCATTTGGATTGACAAGTCCAGTTGTCTTTTTTAGTAGCCTGATCTTACCCGGGAATTCTTCACATCCCCTATTTCTACACGTGTTTCTATGCAGTCCGAGGTATAGGTTTTGATACAGACTCTTTGGCTATCAACCGTACTTTCGTTGTAAAATTTATATATCATAAAAATGACATATAGTCACTTTTATTTGGTTCAGGTTACGTCGCCACCGACCGCCCTCATTCTGCCGACCTACTTAGTAAAATCAATTTATTAAATTCATATAAAAGTTTAATTGTTTTCTGGTTTACATTCATATAATTAATGAAGCACATACTTAAAAAAGACATTGATCAATTTTCAATTCATTGTAATTGAAAAACTAAGTGACTTATTTATTTAAACACCTTTATCATCTGGATATTGAATTTCTACGTTAAAGTTTCTCAAGTAGAGGTCAAGGTTTTCTAAAAGTTTTTCCACGAATTTTTCCATGGTCGGTGATTTCAAACGTTTTTCAATTTCCTTACCGTTTTGATTGATATAAGCCAAAGCAATGTCAGCTGAAAATAAAAAAAGTTTTTATTATGCATTGCACTGATCGACGACCTTATAAGACAATCGTGAAAATGATTAAAGCTATTGGAATTGTGATGTTTTTACCACTACGGTTACATTAAGACAAGTATAGTGTGGTGTTACTAAATAATGTAAATAAAATTATGAATGTATTGTATAAATAACATGAACCTTCATAGAAAAATCAAAAATCATAAATCATAAAATGGTAAGACGGAGTGCTTTAAAACTTTTATAAAAAGATATTCGCATTAATATAAATTGTCTGCGTGACGACGGATTAAGAATACACAGTATCACCACCCCCATTCTTCCCGTGAGTGCCGTAAGAGTCGACTAAAGAAGTAAACTCTGTAGGACAACAGCGCTGCAAAGAGAAGGAAAACTTGAAACTCCCTCGGGCCGTCCCCTCACCGGGGTTTGCGGCGGGATGGTGTGTCGGAATCGGACCGACTAAAACCACACGGAGTGACACTCTGCGCCTGTAGTAGGAGGGCTTCAGGGACTGCTGTTAATTGCCGTCCAGGATTTTTTATAGAGATTGCCTTCCTCGTGTAAACAGGAACCCTCCTAGCCCCTGCCTGCAACAGCGCGGGCACTACCTTCGTGTACATTCTCTATTTAGGCGACGTCCGGCACACGCAGACGTCGCCTCCTCGTGACTGGCCGTTATGGCGTGTGGAGTAGAAAACCCGTCCCGTCCAAGCGAGGCCACACTCAGGGCGGCATGAGGCGCTGGTAAGTGCGCTTTCGCTGCCCGGTTCGTCTGATGATGAGGATTAATAGAAATGAATATGATAATAATATATTATACTTACATTTTGTTTGATCACTATGAAGTGGGCTATGAATGGAATATGTTAAGTCTCCTCTAAGTTCAGTATCTAAAGTAAAACCGTTCAAGAAAAAGTGAACTTTATGATCTTTTTCACTAATCTGTTTCCCATATTTTCCGTTAATTTTTAGAATGTAATCGGCTGTAACAAAATTTGAACAATTATTAACGTGTATTTGAAAGTTCATCTTTATTTTATTTAAATTAAAATTATTTATTTGCTTTATATTGGGTAGTATATATTAGTATTACTTTAAAATTTATATAAGACGAACAGGCCCATTTAGTCATGGAAAGAGCTAAGCTAATCAAAATAACTAGTGTAGGAATATAATATTTATTTATTATTACAATAATCCCTCTAATTTACTGATTATAATTTACATTTTATTCTTTATACCTACTATTCTGAGCCATTTTATGTAGGACAAGATACATCCGGAGCGTTATCGTTTATTAGAGTCAAATGGGCCAATGGGTCAATTAGAAGCCATTACAATATTTTTATGGATATTTGTTTGTGTCTTCCTCTATACTCGTATTTGTACGTAAATCACACAAGAACTACAGTGCGATTGTGATTTGCCGTTGTATCGCTGCAAATCTAACTTAAAATGAAATGCACTCACAGATGTTTTATCTTGATACGTAGCTCAGAATGTGCATAAGTGAGGTATTATAAACCAATGGTGTTTAATAACCGCTAGACTAAGAGACCCGTAAAATTATCTTCAGGAACCTATAAATTATTTTAATTAACTATCGTAAAGTTGTAATTAATAATATTTAAAAACTCCTATAAAACAATAAAGGTATAATAAACATGAAATTTCAATTGAAATTTTTGTCACTTACAGAAAGTAGCCGTCGCCAATCCATCGGTATCAAGTTCTACCGTGTCCATTAATGAGCCTTTGGCTTTATGGTGATAATTTAAAACCAACTGGGGGCACTGCAAATCGTATTGATAAGATAAATCTTCTCTAATTAGCCTAAAAAAAGGTTTAATTTTTTTGTTAATTCCGCACAAACCGGAGGCTTTGTAGAACTGTCTCTTATTAAAAAAGAGGCATAATTCCACTGAACTGTTCTCAGTAATATTGAGTTTTGCTGCCCAATAATATCGGTAGATTTTATGGGCCCAATAAAAGTACAAAGAAACTAAATCAACAAGCCTCCAAAATACTGTTATAATAAATTTATTTAGTTACTTACCTTAGCTTAATAACTTGACATTGTTTTATGCCAGTAAGTGTTAGGTTAGATGTGCGATATGACAAACCTGGTATACTTGACTGAATCTCTTTGAGAAACAACGGATCACTAGGTTCAATCAAACCTTTAATTCCTGGTACGAAAGCATTAAAAGCCTTTTGAGCCTCTCGCGTTAGACACTCAATGTCCGTAAGTGTGCATATTTCTTGGCCTACAATAAATTACAGGAAAATAAAAAATGAACTTCGTCAAAGCTTAAAGTATGATAAATACTTAAAGACCCCAACGGGTCTCTTTATTTTCTTACCATTAATGAAATGTGTATTGACTAATACAGAGAGACAGAATAAAAAATGTACACAACCCATTCTGTCCACCGTTTCTGTATCTGAATGACAAAGTTGTTTGTTGTGTACATATATATAACATTTATATTTTATCTCACCAATGCTAATTTAAACTACATACGAGATAAGTATTACATGTATTTGATAACCCTATCGGGGTTATCTAATATTCTTCTATTCTCATTCTCTGTCGAAGCGGTTCGGTTATGAACCGCCCTACCGGTCGCAATTAGACGTGCACAAACACTTGATTCCTTCAAGAAACAAGTGAAAGAATATTGCATAGGAGACATAAATGTCCCATAATTATTAACTGTCTACTAAGTCAATAAGGTTACATTATTGGAACGAAGTTCCTTATCGCGCGTTGTGAAAGGGGCTAGACGGAAAAAAATCTTACGAAAATTGGTCACGACACTTTTTGCTATAGTAAGCTATTGTAAGCTGCGCGGCGTCGCATGTTTATCTGTCTGTCTCTCTCTCTCTTATAGAAAGCAAGCCAGATATTTTCATTTCTATATTTTTATGTCAGTCATTCAGCGCCATCTATCGAATAGATAGGAAATCATTTCTCAAGGAGATTTTACCAATGTATAAATTGTTTTAATTAGAAACCAACTGAAAAATATGTAGGTAATAGCCGCTTTCATAGATGGCGTTGTAATTAAAATGTGCCGAATCAGTTTTACTCGATCGTTACAACTTCGTTCCTATCGGGTGTCCCACGACACCACACGGCTTTTTTCTTATAATTTAAGTATTTAGTACTTATAAATCACACGTACATATTTATTTACTTCAATCAATCAATCAATCAATCAGTTTATTTTCATTGCGAACATGGGTTTACAATTAGGTGTTACAGTTATAATATTTTTTTCTGCCACATTCTACCTTTAGGCATGCAATAAGATAACATTAATAACGAGTTGGGCTTATTTAATACATCATACGAGGTCAGAATTCTATTTTATGTCAATATCAATTAAAATAACAATTACAATTATATTATTAAAAAAATGAAAAATGTCATAATCATAATAAACAATGTATCACATTTATTAAAAAAGTGTATTAATAGAGGGTATGGTGTAGTTATTAAAAACATGCATTCTATTATATTTTCTCCGTTAAAAACTCAGTTACAGAATAGTATGCTTTCATTTCTAAAAATTCTTTTAACTTGCTCTTGAATGCACTTATGCTCAAGTTTTTCCATTGTTGCGGTAAATGGTTATAAATTACTGGAGCCATACAGAAAACACTGCTACGCATAAGCACAGTTTTTGCTTGGAGTAGGCGCAGTCTACTATTATCACGCCTGTTCCGTGTAACCGTATCCTCAAGCCGCGGAAATAAGCCTGGATTTGTTTTAACAAACATTGACATTTCCAAAATATAAATGCTTGGCAACGTCAATACTTTATACCTTATATATACTTGTATATATCTAATAAAACCACTAGCCTTGTTTAGCACATAGTATATTCCTTCTAGTACCTACGTCATATACTCACCAAACTCCAATCAAATAGATACTATTTTGTAATTTTCACTTTTTAATATTTATTCCTCTTCTTATCAATTTTCCTGATACACCAGCCACTACCCTATACCTCCTCCCTTTTATGCTTTTTCTCCATACCACGGTTGCCTGTAAGAGATTGCCTCTTAGCGCACTTGTACTTGTCTAACCTAGCTTAAGTTGCTCATTGTATATTTTTACCTGGTGTGCAATAAAGCGATATTATTATTATTCTCTTTATTTCATTAAATTACATTTTTACCTTTGGAGCGTCCGCGGGAACACCGTATGTCCCAGTCAAATTTATACCGTTGAATGTTGGCGGGAATACCGTATGTTCCACTACGACAGCGTCATGTTTGGCTATTTGTTTTGACATAAATACATTTCCACCAATAAGAGTATGCCCTACTATTAGAAAGTGTGTTTACACTACTTACATTCTGAATTATCGTTGGTTATTATGCTAATACAAAAAAAAAAACAAAAATTACATTTGAAAACAAATTACCATAAATTTGAATCCGTGTATTTGAAAGTGACGACGAGAGTGTTTTCGAAAATAAATAGCAACGGAATCTCGTAAGTAAACTATATGTATTATATTTCAAAATACTTGCCATCATAGTCTAGTTTATTTCAATATGTATAGTTATTATCTTTGTTATATAAATTACAACGAAAAACAACTTCAAAATCAAATACGATGAAAATGGCCCCTAACTGGTCAATAAAACTGTTGTTATCATGAAATTCAACAAACTGTGAAGAATGTATCTGTTTTCACAATTAATCTTTATTAAGTTTTAAGAATACATTTCAAGGATTCCAAAACTGTTTATTTCATTGAATTACGATAAAAACTAACGGAAATGATGTCGGTCAGCGGTCGCAAGGTCAAGAAGTCAAGCGGCCGACATTGTCGTGTTTTTCCTTCGTTATGACAAAGATTTGAATCGCAGATAACACAGTTCAATAAAAGTCGGTTATAATTAAAAAAAAATGTGTTAAGACGTGAGATTTAGTGATCTAGGTAGCCACCGTGTAGACCCATAGCGTCCTATCCACTGTTCACCAAACATGTGATTAAGACGCTCCCTGGCAGCCACAAAAAAAAAATTGGCTGTCTGTAGGACATACACGAGTGGTTCCATATCTCTCACGGTATGTCCGTAAAGCTGAAAAAGCGTTTTAATAGCATTTCCCGTAAATTAGGACCATGTCAGTATACTCCGCGGCTATAAAGGTCACTCGCGGCATTATGAATGTTAATATTGATAAATCAATGTAATTAAGACACAAGTAAGAAACCTAGTTTCACACATACACATACGCACTCCACAACGAAACTAATATTGTTACTTTCAAAATAAAATCAGCGGAACTCGTTGCAAAACAACACAAAGTTTTGCACCAACTGACCGACTGACGCTATTGTACTTTCTAGAACCCGGAATTCATCGAATATTAAATAATCAAATCAATGCTGCCAATTGTCAAAGCTCAAAAAACATTATTATTATGAGTTTGTTCGTAATAATCATTACGTACTGTAAATAAAACATTTAATATAAACAATATAATTTACGCAGCCTAATAATATTAAAATACTTATTTATTAAACTCTCAAACTCAAATATCTTTATTTCATAAAAAATAAAAATGATCGTCTCTTGTATAGACTCTAAAGTCAACACTCTAAAATCAACACACACAATAGCAACAATCTCTGTTTTCAATCAAAAAAAATTGACCATTATAATTTTCAATGCTCTCAATTTATGGAATCAAAAACTTGTCTTTCTGCCACCAACTTCGATAAATTTAAGTTGGTAAACGATAACTCATTAATATCATATGTTTATCCCAAAACCGTCTCGATCACATCATTTTGGTATCAATAAGGAGAAGGCAGCCCAAAGCCGCTCACACTTTTATCAGAAAGTTAAATCTCTAGTAAGTAATCTATAAGTTAGATCTCTATCTGAATCAGACACTCACTAAAGCCATCACGCTCCAGATTTTGCTGTTGAGCTCTGTGTGTAATATCTTGACACGAATCGTCTTTGAAAGTGTCCCATCACAGTTTTAGGGGTTCTGATGGGTGACAAAATAACGGTTTTATCACATACAACTTCCTCAGTTTCAACGTGCCTTGGGCTTCTCTTCAAGTGAATTTCCACTGATTATCGTTCTCCAATAAACCTCAGTCTCGGCAAGCAGCTTGATATGTTTTTTGACAACCCTTCTACGGTTTTCAAGTGCTGGAATGAAGTTAGACCACGTACATGATGTAGCAATATTCTTAGATAGAAGTCCACTAACTGAAAAAGATGTTCACTGTACACTCTTCCTGATGCAGCATCTTTTTTTATACCAATATATTAATATTCAACATCTTGACCTCGTTTTCGTCTTGTACATTTATTGTTGGCCCATGTGTGAAAATGGTCAAGCAAAGTTTTTGCAAAATCATCACTGGTGCAGATATCAAAAAACGCCGTAAGTGTCGTTTTTGTGTATTTACAACCACCTGTTGTATATTTTCCAATGAGAAATATACTCTTTGCCCATGTTCTAAATGTACCGCTAAGTGAATCACAGTAGGGTTTCTGTCATGTATGTTCCCATATTCTAACAATCTCCATAGCGATTCTTACGTACTGATATAGCTCCCATTTAAATCATTTTCCACCTCATCATGAATATTACGTACACACCAAAAGTTGCCTGATCCGTTCCTTTATTTATTTATTTACATATAAGCTTTATGGTTTCTACAGAATGGCAATATTCTACATTGATATAGGCGTTAAAAGATCGACATAATAGTGGAGAATACGGAACGACCCATCTATTGACGATGGCAATGGATACTTTTTGGAACAAATGCCGTTCTTCATGATCGGTGTTGCAATGTTATCAACTCCGCATGGTCCATGAATCCCATTTTTGAATATAAAATTATTTTCGACATAAAATGTGTCAATGTAGCTTATTTTTAAAAGATACTCATATGGTAACGCAACCTTTTTTTTCCGATCTATTAAAGATCAAAAAAAATTGTGGTACATTGGTTTTATGTATGACAGATCATGTAGTAGTAGCGCACGCAGGTAAAGCAGCTCGGAAGTGCTTTATCTTCTGACTTGCATTAAAAATACCATTGTTTGCTGACTGCAATAAAATATGGCCTATGTTACTTCTGAATAAATAGCTTTCTAATACTGAAAGAGTAATTTAAATCGGTTCATTAGTTTCAGAGTTTATCTTTTACAAACGAACAAATCTTTTCTCTTTAAAATATTTGTATATATTATGTATATATGTATTATATATGTACACGGTAATGACATTTTGGAAACCTGCAAAGCTTAGTAGTGTAGTAGATCCTAGTAGTGTAGTACAGTAGTAGTATCCTAGTTTTGTCTTTGATGTCGCATACTACTGCGAAGGACCCATGTATTCATATATTTACAATTCATTTGTCCTCTAAATATGAGATGTTTTATTTAAATTTAGAACAATAGCACTTTCAGTTTTATGTAAGTATTTATTTATAAGGATCTCCTACGAAAGACCATCATCATCATCATCAACAGCCTTTACTAGTCCACTGCTGGACATAGGCCTCTCCTTAGAAAGGAGGGTTTGGCCACAGTTAAAAAAATAAATAACATCAACCAAGTGAACAAGCGATATAGAAAATTTAGAGTCATAAAAGTAACAAAAAATAGAATTTAAAATTTAAATAAGTTTTGTATCAAATGTCAAATTTTTGGTTTTATCCTAGTACCTGAAGAAATTATTTGACAATAACAAATAATAATTAGGTATGACTCTAGTCACAAAAGTGCGCAGACCTAATTCTGCGTTTATTCTCGATAAAAATCTAAGCAGAGCCAGTGTAAACAGGTACATTTAAATTATCTTCTTAGCTAACGCAACAAATCTTTTTATTTGTTAAAATTTATTAACTGTATTCACGTATAACTTTTATTAATATATAATATTCAAACACACATAAAAAAAAGTCAAATCGATAAATTAAGCACTTTATTTATTTAAACAGTATTGGTTTCTGGATATTGAACTTCAAAGAGAAAGTTTCTCAAGTAAAGATCGAGGTTTCCAAGATATTTTTCCATAAATTTTTCCATTGTTGGGGATTTTAAGAATTTTTCAATGTCCTTACTGTGTTCATTGATATAAATTCTAGCTATGTCAGCTGTAAAAAAATATGTTAATAATTTCATTTTACGGATCTTTGAACGTATACAACAATTAATTGTAGTATAATGTTTATGTTTTTTAACCGTGTTGCATTTAGCTATTAAATGCGTATTATAATAACAATGATACAAGTTTAGACGTTGTTTATTAATATAAGGTGTAAATAACTAATGATCTTAGACTTTCCTGCGGTAAAAAGATAATAAGAAAGGTATAGACACACACTACTAGTCCACTGCTGGACATAGCCCTCTCCTTAGAAAGGAGGTTTTGGCCTATTATACCACGCTGGGCAGACGGGTTGGTATTGAGTTTGTTTCAAGTTTTACTTCTCTTTGCAGTGCTGTTGTCTTGCAGAATTCAGTCCCTTAGTCGGCTCTTACAACAGGATGAATAGGATTGGTGACACTCTGTATTCTTAATATTATAAACGTCAATCCGTGTGGTGACGGATAGTGGGATCGCTTCAATTTTTTTTTTATTTAAACTCAACTTAAGCTTAGATTTAGAAGATAAATACTGATTACAGAGATTACATTGGCATACCACAAAACTACCTGGCAACACTTCAAAATTTCGTAGGAAATTTCAGTTTAAACAAGTACAATATTTTTTTTCAACATCTAAAACTACGATAACATTGTATTAGCTACTATTTTAACATAAGTTATTTATAAATAATACATAATACTGTATGTCAATGATTTCCTTAATTACGTGTAATTTATTTATACTTAATGCACATGTTGTACAGAGGCAGACTTAGTGCCATGAGGCATTCTCTCCCAGTCGACCTTTAGGTGATGAAGAAATATAATGCGGAAGTATACTCAGAAGTATACACAATACATACACACAATATAAACATACCCATACATAAATGTAATATTAGATATAATAATAAAATAAAAATAATATTGTACCACATTCACACAACGCCATCTAGTCACAAACTAAGCAGAGCTTGTACTATGGGTACCAGATAACATATATACTTTATTTTTGTAAATACATACTTATTATACATAGAAACACCCAGACCAAATCAAACATTAAAAGTTAATGCACACAAATGTTTGACTTGAGCGGGAATCGAACCCGCGACCTTTGGAATAGCAGTCCGTTAGACAAACCACTACGCCATTCGGTCGTAATATAAGATATAAGTACACAGTCGGGTAAATACACAGTTCTGCGAATTCATTCCGAAGAAGTTCGCGTACTTTTGACTTGAAGGTAAGGCGGTTTGTGGATATCCTTATTTCGGCAAGCAGTGCATGCCAGAGAAGTACTGACTGCACGTAGAAGTGAGAATTGATAAAGTTGGAGGTGTGAGGGGGGCATAGAAGAAGCGTATTGTTTGTATATCGAAGATTTCTTTCGTGATTTGAGCATAAGAAACGGCAGTGGGGAACGAGGTCTTCAGGTAATATACCGCCATATACAAAAGTAAGGTAAGTATACAAAAGGTATATAAAAAATCAGATAATATACCGCCTTGATCGAGCCAGTAAGGAGATTACACCAACAAGACGACAAGTCATCAATGTGAACACACTGCTGTCGTCCCTAAAGATAGCTGAATAACTATTCCAGGGCTTGGCTGAGAAGATCATAAGATAGGCCTAGGCATAGGATGGCCAGTAGGACGTCATGACAAACGGCATTAAAGGCATTCGAGAAGTCAATCAAAGCCAGCACTATGACTTTGGATGTCTTCTATACCCCCCCTTACATCGCCAGTCTCTTTGAGGAGAGCGGTAATTACTTTCAGATCTGTTGATTCTCTCATTTTTCAACTATTGTGCCCCTGGCTTCGTCAAAATACCAAAAAATGCATTCAACGTGTCCAAAACGCCTGTATACGCGTTTGTTATAAAGTCCCTAAATGGTCGCACATCTCCCCTATAAACGAAAAGAAACAACTTTATATGCAATCGCGACGTCACCAACATTTGTTATGTTTCACTCATAAGATAATCACAAGCGAATGTCAACTATATCTATTCGATAAGTTATCTTGGTGTGTCAACTTGAATACTTGATCTCTTGCAGTTTTAAAACTTATCATAGCGAAACATAGAACACGACCCCGTGTACTATGTATATAGAGGCATGAAATCCAAATACATAATACTCGACTACTAAAGTGTATGAATTGACTAAATTATTGTGTTTTGTATTATACTTAATTAATACTATAACAAAATTATGTATTATAATATATGTACTTAATTATTTTACACCCCTTATAACATATAGGTTTAACTCATCATCATCATCAGCTCAGCCTATGCTTGTCCACTGCTGGACATAAGCCTCTCCCAATGATTTCCAGCGGGGACGGTTGATTGCGGTCTGCATTCAACGGTTTCCGGCAACCTTTACCAGCTCGTCCGTCCATCGGGTAAGCGGTCGTCCCACACTGCGCTTTCCAGTACGTGGTCTCCATTGGAGAACCTTGCTGCCCCATCGCCACTTCAGCGCGCTTATGCGTTGGGCTATGTCGACCACCTTTGTTCTCCTGCGGATCTCCTCGTTGCGGATTCGATCACGTAGGGAAATGCCACGCATAGCCCTTTCCATAGCACGCAGAGCGACTCTGAGCTTTCTGATTAGGCCCATAGTAAGAGACCACGTCTCAGTTCCGTAGGTCAGGCGTGTGTTACCAGTACACACGCCTTTCGTCTTTAGGCACTGAGGTATTTTGGACGTGAAGACGTTTCGTAATTTCCCGAACGCTGCCCAGCCGAGTCGGATTCGATGATTGACCTCTTTCTTGAAGTTGGACTTACCTAATTGGACCTCGAGGACAGAGTTTCCCACGACTATGGGAGTCGGTGCGACATGAACATTTGACATGATTTTCGTCTTGTCCATGTTCATTTTAAGGCCGATCTGTTGAGAAACTCCGTCGAGGTCAGCGAGCATTTGTCCCAGGTCTTCTAGCGATTCTGCCATGACTTTTGACTGCCTTTTCGGAAACCGGCTTGTTCGGGAGGCTGAAAGTCATCAAACCGATGTTCGAGACGATTCGTGATGACTCTTGAAAACAGCTGGTAGACATGGCTCAGCAATGTGATGGGCCTGTAGTTCTTCAATAAGGCCCTTCTTAGGTAATATCGCCCTTCTTGAAGAAAAGTACCACCACACCCCTGTTCCATGACTCTGGCGTGTGTCCCTCGAGCAAGACGGAATTGAAGAGCTTCTGGAGGACCTTGAGTACCGGTTTGTCACCCGCTCTCAGAAGCTTAGATGTGATTCCGTCATCGCCCGGTGCCTTGTTATTCTTAAGCTGTTTCAGAGCCATCCCAATCTCGTACTGGCTGATGTCCGGGATATCTTCGGTATAATGTCGGGTTAGCCTTGCTCTAGGGTCTTTAGCTGGGCTACTAGCAAGCTTTGCGGTCGAGGTATACAAGTGTCAATAGAACCTCTCTATCTCCGTAAGTACCTCTTGCCTACTCGACGTTACACTCCCCTCTACTGTCTTCATCTTCGTCAACTTTTCCCAATAGACGCCTCTCTTGCGAACACTTTCGAGCCGTTGTTTCGCTCTATCGTCTCCTTAATACTGTTAGTATTAAAGGAGCGGACATCGTGTCGCAGAGAATTCCATATCTGTCTATTGAGCTGCCGATAGGACTTAGCGTCATCGGAGGTTTGGAGAGTCATAGAACGTTGATCGGCCATGAGGTCCCGGGTATGGTCGGATAGTTTTTGAGGTCTATCTATCATGGATACTTTCTACCAGCATGCTGTTTATTTTGTCAACTGATGTGCAGCTATCTAGGCATTCGAAGCGATTTTGCAATTCGAGTTGTAAACTTTCGGGGTTTTGGATCTGAGCAATCGAATGTCGGAGCGTGGACTTTATTAGACGGGCGCGTTCCAACTGAACGTCTATATTCAGTGTGCCTCTAACCATTCGGTGATCACTGCCGGTTTTCACCCTATGAAACACGGAGACATCATTGAATATACGCCTTTTGTTGGTCAAATTGAAGTCAATCTCATTTTTTGTGGAACCATCGGGACTCATCCAGGTCCATTTCCTGTGGGGCGGCTTCTGGAAATAAGAGTTCATCATAAAGAGTCCCTCTTTTTCCAGGAAATCGGCCAGCCTGTGTCCCCTGAGGTTCCGTTGCCCATAGCCAAATTGCTCCACTCTGAACTCATCATCGCTTCTTCGGCCCAGTTTTGCATTGAAGTCTCCCATAACAACGGTGTAGTGTGTAATAGTGCTATGTATGGCCCGACTGATGTCCTCATACATAGCTTCCACTTCATCATCTGGGTGTGTCGAGGTCGGTGCGTAAACCTGTATGACCTTCAACGAATATTTCTTAGATATTCTGAGTATAAGGTACGTTACCCTGCTCGACACACTATTGATGGATATCACGTTGCTAATATGAGACTTGTGGACGATAAACCCGACTCCACCTTTGGACTGTTGTTCGCCCTCCCGGTAGTAGAGCAAATTGCCGCAATTCAGGGTAATCGTGTCCTCACCCTCCCTTCGGACTTCTGCTAAACCCACTATATCCCAGCGCAATTTGCTCAACTCTTCCTTCAGCTCTACTATCTTCTCGTCTGTCCTCAAAGTGCGTATGTTTTGTGTTACCAGGACCAGTTGTCGTTGGGGGTGGTAGCCGGATCCCATCCGGGGATTCTTCGCACCCCCTGCCCCGCCGCTGCCATGGCCGCTACCATAGCAAGGATTGGCGGGGCTGCCTGGTACTGGGGGCCTGGTCCTGTGCTGTCTAATTATCATTTTAGAGGTTTTGTAAACCTCCCGTTAACAAAAATTATTTACTCGCTAAAGGTTTTCCAACGACTGGTGTATAATATGTAATGGTAAAATATATACAATGTACAATAACAATAAATAAAAATGGTCACTTTAACAATAACAACAAACATTATTTTAACTTTTTTTTTGGTGACGGGGTAGAAAATCCCTTCGGATCTTCGACTCCTTGGAGATACAGGAGCCAGGAGTATGTGGTGTTTGCACTAAAAACCACGCCGATGGCCATCCTTAGGCGCCCTACTCTAGGGACAAACATTATTTTAACTTACATTTCCTTTTATCACTATGAAGCGGGCTAAGACTGTTACATATAACATTTCCTCTCGGTTCCGTTTCCAAAGTAAAACCGTTCAAGTAAAAGTGAAGCTGTTGGTCTTTCTCGCTGACTAATCTCCCATATTTGCCATTAATTTTAAAAATATAATCATCTGAAATAAATACAATTGTACAAAGTTTTTTATTGATTCCTAAAATTTTCTATAGAATACTAAAATACATGGTACATTACAATTGTTACTGCTTGAAATATAAACACAATATCAAAAAGGCAACGTTCGTAGATCTAAACGATGTCAATTGTAATTTATACGAGATAGCTAATTAAAAAGAGTTATTTACTTATACAATATTGTTTGGACGGTCCTGATGCAGAATGCCAACTTCTCTAAACAACAACTTAGGCGAACTCCACTTTTATCTAATGACAGTTTCTCAGAACGAAAACTTCGCAAAACGTCTACTTTTTCAAATAGTCAATATATTGAGGTAGGTCAGTAAGGTTAATATTATACCAACAACGCGAGAGCCGAGCGATCGAAGCGAGCGTGCCGTATAAGAGGCTTGCGAGAGCCAAAACCTAAACGTTCAAAAAGTCTATTGGTTCAAGTGAATTGGTTCAACTAAAACATTACACATCTATCACAGAGCCATATGATTCCAAGCTAGGCAAAACCTGTACTATGATAACCAAGATGCTAATAAACATGCTTATGAAATTAAAATAATATGAATGTAACATTTACACATTAACGGATAAATTTTAACAAGACAGGAAACAGGCTCGCGTTTATCATATAATTATTTACCCTGCGTGAGAATTGAGTCTACGGATATATATAGCAAAACTGTCAGGATGACTAGCTACCAAACCATCCAATCTGCCAAGTTGTTTTTAGGTATCACAAAACGGACAGCAACAGTAACAAACTAAGTAGGGTCCCGTGGTTTACTATCCCGTGGTTTACCATCTGTAAACTAGTGACAACTACCTCTGACTATTTTGTGTTTAAGACGAAATTTTGAAAGAAAATTTAAAAAATGGGGTGACCTCTTAGCTTACTTAACGCTACGTGGAGTATGGGGGACACCTGACTCTTTAAAAAAAACTAGTACTATTAATTATAATATTTCGTATCAAAGTAATTTTCATTGTGAATTGCAAAACAGTAACGAAACAAATAAATGTATACCAGAAAGAATGAATTTAAATACAATTTTTTACTGCACGGATAGTGTTGCAGACTGTATTTTTTTTTGGATCGCACCTTAATGTTATCCTTTGTTATGGGATTGAGGGGTTTTTATTAGTCTTGACAGAGAGAGCACACACATTAACACACATGACCACGAATTATTCTCAACTACAGTGTTGCCACGTTAACAAACAAAATATTTATTTATGCTTACCATAAGCAGATAGTGTAGTGGTTTAAGTGGTCACCTCGCCGCTTTCTATTGCTCTATGTTGTGTGTTCGATTCCCACGTGGGACAACACTTACAAAAAAATATTTTTGAACTCTTACCAAAAGTGATCGTAGCCAAACCATCGGTATCGATTTCCACTGTATCCAAAAGTCCTTTAACTTTATGGTGATAATTTAAAAGCAAATGAGGACATTGCAAGTCATATTGATACGTCAAATCTTTACTATTTATTCTACAAAACAATAAAACAAAATTAATTTTTAATCTAGCCCAAATTGGTAGTATAATAGATACCTACATCTCGAAAAAAATAAAGTCATGTAATGATGAGTTTCTGATGGCAGTAATATTAACAGAGTTCATAAAGATCTAGGCAAAGCACTTGGCAAACGTTACATAAAAAGTTACAAATTAAAAAAAAGGGGAAATTTGAATAGGATAGGAAATAAATAAAAAAAATCGTAGATTATAACTGTGTTCAAAACAAAACAGTTTAGTTACTTACCTTAACTTAGTAATATGACATTGTTGTAGTCCAGTGAGTGTTAGATTAGATAGTCGATATGGTATTGGTACAACTCCATCAACCTGTTTCAGGTACAACGGATCGCTAGGATCAATCAAACCTTTAATACCAGGTACGAAAACATTAAAAGCTTTTTGAGCCTCCTTTGTTACACATTCATTGTCCGTAATAGTGCATAATTCTTTGCCTATAATTAAATTTGTTGATATAATACAAAATAGTTCATATTTTCATTAAACGTTAAACTTATATTTCGTCACAAAATAAGTATGATATTTAATGACCCCAATGAGTCTCTTTATTTTCTTACCATGAATTAAATGAGTACCGACTAATATAGAGAGACAGAATAAGACTTGTACACAACCCATTTTAGCACACTTTCTGTATTTGAAGTGAAAGTTTTATGTGCAGTAAATTTATACTACTCACTTGTAGCCGACGTCACCATGTCGTAATAAACATTTATTGATAACCCTATTGGGGCTATCAAATAATTTTATACCTTACTACCTATACTTTTTTTGTTAATGCCATTCCTATTGGAGTGATTCATAATGAACGCAGGATATGTCATAATAAAAATGGATACTTGATAATAGCCTACCGCAGTCTGTAGACACCCGCAAATCAAGAGTTACGAGTGCGCTATCATCTTTCTGCTCTTTTCTTTGAGGCTTGGAGGTCAAATGTATTCGGCAACCCCGCAGGCGATAAATTGTAAAACAAATTGCTTCAGCAAAAAGTTTCTTGGAGACCAGCATTGATTGTTGATTTGGTAATCGGGCTGTATTAGTTTTTTAATAGTTACCAACGCTTAAACAATAGACTAATATCTGTTTTCAGATTGTTACAATGAAGAAGTTTACGTATTTCTGATAAACATGTTCAATAACATGTATTTTCTTGGTTTAAATTGGTTTTAAAATAAACAAACAAAATACATCAGTGCATACTAAATTTATTATCAAATAAATACACATGTACATACAAACTGATAATATAATACATCTATACATATAATATATTTAGATATATTTATTTTATTATCATAGATTAATATAATAGTAGGCCAAAACCTCCTTTCTAAGGAGAGGCCTATGTCCAGCAGTGGACTAGTATAGGCTGTTGATGATGATGAGATTAATTTATGCCTATTACAAATAATTTATATATACATATATATAATAAAATTTATAGCTTTTTCCACCTCACAAATCTAATCATGTAAGTCGGCAAAATAAGAAAACAAACAAACAAAGAAGTCAGGAATTCTTACTCATTAATTAAAGTGCTATGATGTCACAGACAATTGATAAATATTAAAATACTACGAGTATTTGTGCTGTTGGTCTAGTGGTTAGTGAATCGGACTGCTAAGCTGGAGGTCGTGGGTTCGATTCTTACCTAGGACAAATATTGTGTGATGAGCACGGGTCATTTGTTGTGTCGGGTGTAATTCATCTATAATATGTATGTTTAAATAATATATAAGCATGCTTATCAGCAGTCTGGTTACCATAGCAAAGGGTCTGCCTAGTTTGGGATCAGACGGCCGTGTGTCAGATGTGTAACATATATTCTTATTATTATTATTTTTTCTTATAAAAATGTGTCCACTATGCATGAGGCACGCGGGGGCGCCTCCCTACGATTCACTGGTACTACTTTCCTTTCTTGTCGGCACGCATCGTCTGCGCAATGCACTCTAATAATTGTAAGTTTATTATTTTTATAACGACCAGAGAACCAGCTATCGAACTTAACACGTACCATAAAGTAAATGTCAACAGTAACAAATAAAATAGATGAGCGCGCATCGGGTCTCGTGCAATGTAGAATGCCGTAGTTTTAAATAAGAAACAACTTCTTCTCAGTATTTGTTCTTCTAAGAATTTGTTAAAAAAAAAACATATTTTTTTAAGTGATAATCACATTTAATGCATTGGGAGTCTCTTAAACTAAAAGAGCTAATTTAGCCGTGATGAAATCTAAAAATGGTCTTCAAACTCCTGCAATGTACTCCATGCTATGGGTTAGATGAGAAAAAAGGAATTCGCCCTCGTCTACATTATGTGTAGGTATTCTAAAATATTTTATTCACAATTTTACTTCGTTAACTTCATTAATCTTATGCTAAATTACACTTTTCTAATGTTAATAGTCTAACCTCCACAAGAAGAGACGGACAGATGATGTGAAGAAACTATAAAGGATATTTTTTTTCATTTTATTAAGTATTAGCTTACCCGGTGAACTTCGTATGGTGAACTTTTGTTTTCTTGAATATTTTCTAAATTCCTGAAACATTTGTTTTACTCTTTGTGTCCGCCTTGGCATCACACGGGCGCTGTACAATAGCGCACCAAGGCAATCATTATTTGGATGTGCATAATGTGTGTCACATAGCAAAAAAACATACCTTAAAAGTTGGATTGAAACCACGATTTTCAATTATATTTTCACCAAATGATGTCATTTGGAACGCACTATTGTAATTTTGCATATTCTGCAAGAAATGCTTCGTTTCTTGCCCTGAAAGTAATTAATTTAGTGGTTCAGGTGGCGTCGTTAGTTGTGGTAATTTGACGTTTCAATTCACACAACATTATCCTGGCGATTCGAGTCGAAACCGTAAAGCATTGTAATATTGACAAATAGTGCTCATTGTTCCAAAATCGACCAATTTATCGCCGGCGTAATATAATCGACTGTTGAATTACATCTAACCGCCAAACGTTCATAGGTAATTGTCACGTTTGATAGTCTGTTTTTTTGACCCTTGCTTGCAGTCGGTGGTTCTTTCGGTTCTGGGTTGTTTTTAAAAGAGTGCATTTTTACATTGTCGCGGTTTTCTTTCATAAAAGCTGTAATAAATAAAAACAACAGTAAATACAATTAAAGATGTATTTCAAGTTCTTACTAAAGGACGTATTAATCGTGTATGTGTTTATAAGTTATTAGGTTAAGGTTGTATTCTCTTGGTGTTTTTTTTTCATAAAATGATTCTTCAGGTTATTTCTTAACACTAACTATTAAAACTTCAATAATAATCAAATGAAATCTCATATATGTCACATTTCTAATAATCATATTTATTGAAAAAACTGTTCTTTCTTTTAATTAATTATTTTATACAAACCTTTTTATAAAAACCCCAAAACCCAAACCAAACCAAGGGAGGAAAGTGTTTTCCCATGGTACAGGGCCTGATTAGGCATGGTCTCAATTTGGGGAATACCTGATATAACATGGTCCATGGATTTTCCACCCGTCAACAAAAAAAAGCCCAACTGGGACGCTTCTTGAACAAGATTTAGATAATATCTGAACATATTTAACTAGTAGTATATTATACCATCTCACAAATATAGTATTAGTAGTGTTAGTAGTATAGTATAGTATTAGTAGTGGTTTAAGCGGTCTACTACTACGCCGAGTGTTGTGGGTTCAAACCCCACATGGGACGACACTTTGTGTGATCCACAAATTGTTGTTCTGAGTCTGGGTGTTCTTTGTGTCCGTTTCATGTATGTTTGTAAAGTCCCCCGCGACACAGGATTTATTCCTAATGCGGGCGTTGTCTTTTTAAAGAAAAAAAAAAAAAAAAAAAAATCTGATTTCTGTATTGTGGTTATCAGAATATTCTATCTCTTTGTTTTTGTATGGATTTTTTCATTTTCTCTTTCTGAGTCAGCATGCGGGGTCTTTCTTCAGAAAGTCGAACCAGGACGTACCAAAATTTTAGTCATGTGTTACTTTGAAATTCTGAAATTAGAAGCTTTTACAATAAATGCCATGCTTTTGGAAGGATCCGGACCATGCGATCAGGTTTCTGTCTTAGTTTTACCCAAGTTTTAGTAGGACCCGTAGTTTTGTCATAGACTTAATTTGACCTCTAAATTTCTTCTCCTTCATGAACTTCATGGTCTTACCTTAGAATATAAATAAACTATTAGATGGTAGATAAGTTATGATGTGTGACGAAGTGTTTATCCGTGTGGTGACTGATTAAGAATACCGAAAGCTACCACTCCCATTCATCCCGTGGGTGTCCCTAAGTGCGAACTAAGGGAGCAAACTGCGCAAGACAACTGCACTGCAAAAAAGAAGGAAAACTTGATACAAACCCTCTACCAACCCGTCAGGCCAGCGTGGCATAGTAGGCCAAAACTTCCTTTCTAAAGAGAGTCCTATGTCCAACAGTGGACTATTAAAGGTTTTTGATGTGATGATGTGAAGTTTTGACTGCTTTCAAAAAGGAGGAGATTAAAAGTCTATATGTTATGGACTTGCTTTGCTCAAACGGCAGTTCTATGGAATCCCTACTCATTTAAATGATGACACTTACTGCAAATTGTATCATTTAATACCGAAATATGTATATAGTAGTCCAAAAATTCTTGTGGATTCTCCCTGATTTGTTCTCACTTCATTCAAACTACCTGATGCCGGAATGCCGTATAATAATATTATTTACTAAGGTTTTCAATTTATCATAGTGTGTCGGCCTAATATGTACAACATCGAGGTTACCATTATTCAGTGAATTTGATAGTTTAGACATTAAAACGATAAGACTTTTTGGAATAAGTGTCTGCATAAGTAATAAATCTAACTTTATTAGATACTGCACTATATACATACATTTATAATGTTTTTTTGCCGAATGTTTCAACGGCTTTGCAACGCAACATGTAAGTTATCATTGTCTAGAAGTGTTCAAGCTATATGTTTCTTCACCGATAAGATATCCCCCTCTGGCCGTGGCCCCACTGGGGTTTGCGGCGGATTGGTGTGTAGGAATCTGCTCGATTAAAACCACACGGTGTGCCACTCTGCGATCTACCTAATCTCCTCCGTCTCCGCCTTATCCAGTGCCACTAGTAAGTCCAGCGCTTCAATGCGCCCGACCACCAGGGAGACTCCTCCTGGTGGGCTGTGACTAAAAGTATCATCGGCGAAAAAAATTACACCCAGCCGGGGGAAAAATCAGCTCAAAGGGCCCAGTCGTACTCTATGTTCCACAGAAGAGGTTTCAGAGCAGTCTCCTGTCCTCGTACACCAACGTACGCTCCTCTAAATAGTCTACCACTAGCAGCCTTAGATACTTTGGCACCCCATGACAGTGGAGTGCTTCCCTGATGCAACAGAATGACAGACTATTGAATGCGTTGACTATGTCCAATCACACGCCGCCACAGTTCACCGCAGAGGCAGTACAGCACCAACCGTCGAACGACCCGCTCGAAAACCGAATTGGGGGTCCAAGAGATCAGGGCCCACCTTGTAGAGGTGGCGGATGATGCGGGCAGAGAGTACCCTCTCAAACAATTTGCCCACCTCGTCCGGCAACACGATGGGCCTGTGGGCCACGACCGAATCGGCTTACTTAACAGGACCAGCTTCCCGCTCTTCCAGAATTCAGGGTAAGGTCGGGAGGTCTGACTTGTGGTTGAGAGCTTGGATCAGCACACGGGCGGGTATCCCGTGTGGCCCGGGGTGGTATTTTTGGTCTTCCGCGCCTCTCGGTAATTGATATTCTCTCCTAACACAATGTCATCTATTGAAACACTATTGTACTGCAAACTACTTGAAGACCCTAACTAATTTTATCATTAAATAACTTTTGTGTCAAAGTAAATATTTGGTTATTTTATAAAAGATGTTTTTAATTGATTAGAAACAGAAATTTACAGACAAGTAAATTTTTCCATTTTATATTGTACCATATGTAGATTGCTGCTCCTTTGAAACCCTAGGTAAATAATCTAATTTCAAACAATCCGTTCTCAAATTGCATTGCACAACAGAAAGTAATCAAATCTCAAAATCGTCAGTAATTTAATAAGGTATGCCACCTTATTAAATTACTGACGATTTTGAGACTTATACTTATGAGACTAATAGTCCATTAGAAGTAAACTACTCCATTATATACTTTCAAATGTTTTTTATTCGTATTATATAAACAATCATTCTTGCAACTGATATACATAATTAGTCAAAATGATGCTGTAGTGGTTCTTCATCTAAAATCTTCGAACCTTCGTTGTCGTCTGCTCTCTGCTTAGCTGTGCTTTATTTGTGAAATAATTTAGATGTTTTTTTTTATGTTAGAGGGGACGAGCAGACGGGTCACCTGATGGAAAGTGACTATCGCCGCCCATGAACGTCTGCAACTCAGAGTCACAAACGCGTTGCCGGCCATTTAGGAAGGAGTACGCTCTTTTCTTGAAGGTTTGAAGGCCGTATCGGTCCGGAAATACCGCAGGCGACAAAGCGTTCCACAGATTGATTTGTTTTATTCTATTTTAATTACATGTTCATATTCACTTTTATTAGATTGTTTATGTGCAAGTTAATAAGAATTACAATATGTTATTAGTGTACCAGCCACCATTTTTTTGTAATTAGTGGTTTATGCAGAGGAAGTACTTCGCCCATGTCATATGCCCTAATGTAGATGTCAATATTATTTATTAATATGTCCATGGCTTTCTTGACAATATATGAATGTAGAGAATGTTCTGTCTCCTTCCAATGTTGGTTCATGTACGTTTCAGTTTCATTAGCTGCAAATGTACAAGATATTTCAGTTAATATTATTATTATTTAAGTTATATTTCGGTTTACATGTGTAATAAAATTATTGCCAACTTGATGATTACTGTGTTTTAAACTGATTGTTAGGCAGTCCAAACCTGTCAATCACAAAAACACTAAAATTTGTAAATTCACGCTAGGAATCGAATACAAAAATGCATAAAGTTTTATTAATAAATCTGAATCCTACTAAACTTTTAAAACATTTTCTTTATTAATTTTGTGTTTGAATTCTTACCTATACGGCTGTCCATTACACAACCATCGGATAGTTCAAATACTAGTTTCCCTTTAATATGAGTTTTTGTTTGATGATTCAATATAAAAAAATGCGGCCTGTTTTCATGGGCCTTCACAAATACAGAATATTTTCCCAGATTTAGTATATCGTAATCATCTGAAATAACAGTTTTATATTAAATATTAATAATCATTACCCAGACTTATTACAGATGCTTTTTAATGTTCAATTGTGATGCCTCACAGGTTCTGAGTAGTGTGAAACTGAGTGAATTATCAGTTTTTTAATTTTATTGGGTTATCGGTATTTCATTTGTAATGCCGTGAGTGACCTTCACAGCCGCGGAATATCCTGACATGATGTTAATTTACGGGGAACTCTATCAAAACACATCTTAAGCTTTACGAACAGGTATGGAGTCAATCGTGTATGTCCTACAGACTGCCGAATGTTTGTAAGGGCGGTACAAAGAGGTATTACCTATAATTAACAAAACACCTCACCCGACCTTCAGTTACGCGTGATGCTCCTGTTTCTAGGAAAACACAAACTAGGAAAGATAAAAGCAATATAAGGAGAAAGCATGAAGAAGTATGGACCGATACGAAGAGAAAAACTTTAAAAAACATTGGCGAGGCATGTAAGCCGTGATGGTATATCAACGTCGAAAAAATACTTGAAACCAACCTTTAATTGTTGCATGAAATGTTACAATAAAATTTTAAATGATTAAAGAAAATCATTTTTCATGCATTTTGGAAAAAAAAATTGATAAGAAACATTGGAGTTTCGTATCACACTTAGTCAAAATAACAAGAGAAGAGTTTATACAGACGTAGAATCTCGACGTTAACCTGCTACTGAACATTGTACTGAAGTTCAGTACGCCGATGTCTGTAGGAAGCAGTTTCTAGTGACGGTTTCAATAAGGGAGCAGTTCGTGTATATCGCAATAAAAAACCGACTCACCAGGTGGAACTTTAGGAAGCAATAATCAAGGTAAACACGATAACCGGCCTCGCAAAATTACATGTGAAGAAAGTGTACATAATAGATATTATTAATTGTTTGCCACCTGTTAAATTCCATTATGTTAGAAAAACTACATCTAAATTGTACTTAGATGGTGATTTAAACTTTCATAAATTATTTAATATGTATAAGGAATGGTTTGGTAAGGAATAGATTCTCAAATTTATTCTCGTAAAACAGAAACCACACGTCAGTACAAAACTTGCGTCAGTAAAAACTTTAAATTAAGTTTCTTTAAACTAAAAAGGAACAATGTGACAAATGTCACAAGTACTCACTTATAACACCCACAAATGAACAATACGAGGCTCACCAAATTCATATCTCAAACAAAAACGCGCACGAGAACTAAAGTTGCAATACTATCCAAATTAAGATTTTAACGGCCACATTTTATTTTCATAAAGCTTTGAATTCGCCTTCTGGAGAAATTAGTGTCTTGTAGTACAAACGTAAGTTAGGTGCTATGAATTTCACTATACTACTCTGTCAAAAAAGTACCGGAAGTACCGGAAAATACCAATAATACACAAAATGTTTGTTATCCATCCAAATTTATTTTATCACCTTCAAAGTATACTCCTTCAAAAACGATACACTTACGCCAACGAATAATCCAATCATCAAATCATTTTTTTAAACGCTGCTTCCGGAATTGAGTTCAGTTCTCCCCGCGAATTTTCCTTTAGGTCTTCTACCGATTGAAAACGGGTGCCACGAAGTGGTAATTTGAGTTTAGGAAAAAGAAAGAAGTCGGCTGGAGCCATATCTGGTGAATATGGTGGTTACTCGATGGTATTTGTTGAGTGTTTGAATGAAATTCACAATAAACACTAGATATGATATAACTAACTAAAAACATCACTATATTTAATATAAATAACAGATGCAACTCAAATTCCGCGCCAAAATGGAAAACATTTGTGGCAATCTAACAACAACAAAAAAAAAACAAAAATTTGAATTTGGAACCATAAACAAATCATCCATTCCCGATAATTTTTTGACTGAATGTATTTGATGTTGCTAATAAGTTAGCTAATTATTATGTGGCATGAGGGAGAAGGCAAGAGAGGAGCTAACGAAATGGCCAGTTGCTTAGCGGATTTTATAGTTAAAGGTGTGGCAGCATGAGCAGTAAAGTTTTTTTGGTCTGACATTTGTACTGGCCAAAATTGGAACGTCATCGTGTTCTTCGTTTAAACATGCCTTTTTAGAGAAAGGATAACTCAACAAAAAGGGGACAGTGTTCATGCACTTATAGAGAGACGTGCAAAGACTAAATTGATTTATACTCCATTAGAATGGTTCACATTCCTACGTTGGGCTAAGACAGAAAACAGCCCATACAAAGTTAAAGAGATAGATATTATCACTCTAATAAACTTAAAATAAGCTAAACATCAAACATTATCAGATCGACTGACGTAAACATACGATATTAATTCATTAGAATGCATAAAAAAAGATAAGACTACAGAATACATGCCAAGCTAAAAAGTGTTTTTTTTTAAATTATAAATTTAGTAAATAGTGATACTGAAAACTTTAGTTCACTATTTTTTTTGTTAGTTTGCCAAAAATCTCCCTAGATCTCTCTTATCAACACTGCTAAAAGCTAATATAAAGATTAAAAACTAAATTTGTGATGCAAATTCACAAGATTCTAAAAACTGTTTAAGATGTCAGTTAAGGTATTACCATTACATTAAGGAATAATGTAATAGCTTTAAATAAATTGTGATTTTAGTAGTTTATAATTAATATTTTTTTACAGTAAAGAAGAATATTTGATTTTTAAAAAGATTTTATGTTATTTTTGCGTTGAATTATTTTATTTTCAGAAGAAAATTACCAATTATGCGTCGATTTTTATACGAATTAAGTTTAGTTGATGCGATAAAAAAACACACCATATTTAACATGAACATCTCAATACCTACATTTAAAAACATTTAATGTGTAGTTTTATTTTCATATTATTGTAAGGGTTGAATGTGTTTGTAATTTAAAACCGACTCAGTTAACATTTAAATATAATTTGCCGACTTAATATCAGATAGACCACTAAAATAAGTACGCTTTGCCCGAACTAAAACATGGCATGTGTATGATACGTTAAACTTTTGCTAATTTAAGATTAGTGTAAACTATCGTAAGTTTTACGTACGACATTTTAATCTTATTTTAAGGAGGCGTAAGATACGTAACTATCACATACCATTTATTCACTAAAAAATTTATTAATATTTCAAGACCAAAATTAGCCAAATAGGTCCAACCGTTCCCGAGTTTTAGTAAAACTAACCAACAGCAATTCATTTTAAATAAAATATTAACGAAAACACCACATCAAAGTTAAATAATAAAATATTTTCAGTGAAGTGAGCAAAATCAATAAATATAATTTCAAAGCAGCTAGCAATGTAACATTTCAAATTTAAAAATTACTACTGCTGTCAAAGCCCTTCCTAGACTTTTTTTTAACTGTAGCTTTGAATTTTCATAAATATATTACAGTGAAATGAAATGAAATGAAATGAAATATTTATTGACATAAAAGTGTTACAAATAGTATAAATACGCTGGCTCCTAAACTAGTAGAACTGTATTATAGGACCCAGTGACTTCACCTTGTTACATGTTATATATAGTTATGTCAACAAAAATCAATCAGTATTACTCTAGTGTGGATGATGAGACCAATGTTTCTCTTATCAGAGGTTAAGGTGTCCTGGTTTCGTCGGCGGACATTCTCAAAATACACACGTGTTTAAAGCAGTAACTATTGTAAATTAATAAATATTTTTAAGCCAAAAAGGGCCAATGAGAATATGGTAAGAGACAACAGCACGTCATGGACTCCTGGAACTCAAGAAAGATTGCGTGAAATACTTACAAGCAGTTATTGTAGCATAATACTTTAAACGAAGTGCTGGAGAATTCGAATTTTCATCGGCTTTGAAGTGGAAATGTGACATTAATTTAGGACAGCTTAGATATTGTTTGAAGGTAGAATCAGTCACGTTTAATCTGAAAAATAAATAAACATATTGTACAACCAAACAGTATAAAACGTTGTATTACTTTTTTTTCCTTAGTAAATATACCGCCGTAATTGTTCAAATTATTCAACATAATTAATGTGATAATACTGATTTTCAATACACACTCTTATTTATAATATGTTACTTTGAAAAATATTGTGGCTGACATAATAATTATTAGCAAATGAATAAACAAAACCACCTTGCTTCGTGGCTGTATTGTACTAGGCTTTAGGCACATCTCTAGGCTCTAGCAATTCGAAATATTTAAAGTTCACATTTAGACAATCATTTTTCACAAATGCTAATCTATTTGTGAATCAACGTTGTGATTAATAGGCTTAATCACAACGTTGATAATAATTATGCGACGACGACGACCATATAAATTACAATTGTGCAGTCATTGAGCCAATAATAAATAGATAACAGGGATATGTAAACATTTCTCAATTACGATTCCACAATAAATCTTGACCCCGACGACATTTGCAACTATGAGGCGAGTCATTAACCAGATTTTTGCCTAGTGGCCTTAACATTGCATAAGGAATAGGAATTGGAATTTTCGGTGGCTAGACAATTCTGAAATTTAAATATTCACTATTGAGAGGCTTGAATTATATGCTACTAGCGTTTGCCCACGGCTTCGCCAGTTGTCTGTTAGTTTTAGCGGTAAAAAGTAGCCTATGTTACTCGTTGATAATGTAGCTTTCCAATGGCAACGTAGGTTTTTTTGTTATAAGAGACAACTCCCGCACTAGGAATAAATCCTGTGCCGCGAGGGACTTTACAAATTAACAAAAAGGACAACCAGACTGAGAACAACAATTTGTGGATCACACAAAATGCACATAACAGCGCACAATACTCAGCGCAGTAGGAAGCGGCGAGGTGACCGCTTAAACCACTACGCTATCCGTGCAGTCGTTTAAAGTCAATTATGTAGTTATGGCGTGAAAGCGTCACAACCAACAACAGCAAACAAACTCACTTTCACATTTATAAAATAAATGGATGTCTTTCAGCATTTGATGGAAAGAGATGAAATTAAAAATCACTGGAGACATTGAAAAACAAAATTTGGTTGTTTAAACGAGAAACACCTAACAGTCAGTAGCAATAAATGTAAATTAGTCAAGTCAGAAATAGAATTTATTGGTATTTATTTAACGAATCATGAAATAAATCCTTGTTTAGAAAGTAATCAGGCCATTATTGATTATACGATATGATTAAATTATTGCCGTATCAAATAGTATATTCCCATGCAACAAAATATTAAGAACATGGAATTATGAATTTTGAAGCTAAGTGCCTGTTGTTGTATGTGTGATGTTCTCTACTATCACGTGTGCTATTTTAAAATTTCTAGACACTGTAAAATGTATACCACTATAGCAGGAATAAAAAAAAGAATGAAAACCTATCGTTTTCTTTTTTAAATCATGAAATGAATCACAGGACAAGAATTCTACCTGCGATCGAGTCTTTAGGTTTTTGTGGGACAGCCAAATATTTAGACGGCTATTGAAAGTCATTTACTTAGATCTTGCACCAACCATAAGCTATAGATTCATGCTTTAAACAAAAAAACCAGCACAGGTTAATTCCCTAGGCATAAAGATATGTAACAATTCATATCACAACTTGAGACGGTCATTTAATAATATGAGCGAGCACGAACACTTACTGGTCAATAAATTGACTCGAGTAATTGAACCTATCTCTCTACAATGTGATTACTTCAAATTCCAAAAGGGGTGATTGAGTTATAAAAGTTAAAATTAAATAAATCGTTAAACGTGTTCCTGGGTAGGCTTTGCAGTCCCGCAACAGCATTCTCGCGGTTTACCGTTTGTTGATGAGACCTGCGTAATTGTCTGCCTGCCGCGTTGGTATGGTTAATCCTGCTCAGGAATAATCATTTATAAATATGACTGTAAAATAAAAGAATGTTAAGTTTGTTAAGAAGTTAAGGTATGGTAAAATAAATTTCAATAACCAGCTGAATCGACACATTTTTTATTTCATTATCATCAGCCTATCGCAGTCCACCGCTGGACATAGGCCTCTCTCATTGCACGCCACTTAGATCGATTTTCGCTTCTCGCATTCAGATCATTTTTTATTTTCATTTCATTTTTATTTAAATTCGTAAAATTTTAATTTCTTGTAAAAAAACTGTTGCAGGCATGCAAATTGGGTGTTTTCTGTGTATAATAAGTATGTATTTACAAAAAAAGTAGATAAGTATTCTATCAGTCAATCTATCTTTCATAGTACAAGCTCTGCTTAGTGTGAAACTAGATGGCGTTGTGTGTTAGATGTTTGAAATAGTATTATATTATATATATATATATCTAACTTATCAACATTCGCTGAACATATCAAATTCTTAGCATACCAAAGTCAACTGTATACATTAAAACCGGCCTAGAGCGTGTCGGCATTTTACAATTGATCTTGCGACACTTAATGACCAACTTTTGCCCTCTCTTCACCAAAATTATTAATTTAAAATAAAATCAAACCTTTTGAAAACGAGATGTTCAGGTTTTATGAAGCTTTTTCGCTTTCCAGACTATATAGTTGATCCAATTTTAATGTTGATGGGATGAAGGTCCGTCTTAAAACTATCCAATAACTTATTTACTTATGACTTTATGCACAAACATATACATCGGCGGACTTAATGCCTAAGGCATTCTCTGCCGGTCGACCGTTTGGGCGATGCAGAGAAAGAATGTAGGTGCACTAACTTCGAACACCCCAAGAGATAATAGCAATGACGTATTGAAAATTATATTGTACTTACTTTAATTTCGTGACTGTACAGTCTTTCAAACCCTTCATTGTGATGTTGGTTAATTTATATTTTACTGATTCTATAACTCCGTCGATTTCATTTATATATAGTGGGTCAATGGGTTTTAATAAGCCTTTTACTCCCTTTACAACGTTCTTATAAACGTCAAATCCTCCTCTAGTCACACACTCCAAGTTGTCAAGAACGCATATTTTTTTGCCTAAAATACAGGATACACGTATAAACACCACGAATTTCATAAAACTCAAACAATAGATTACAGTATTTAATACTTAATAGGCAACGGCGGATTCTTTTTGCTTTTTGCCGATCCTATGCCATGCCGTCAACCGGGCATTTACATTAAAAGAAAATGTAAATAAGAAAGGAACACAATTGCTGATTGGATTGGGAGTGCAAGATATTGCTCGAGCAGATTAAGGATACCTGTGTTTCAAAATGGCTATTGCCAAAAAATCGAGCCTTATATTTAATTTCATGTAAATAAGTTTAGGACTTCGCTAATCACAACAAATGGCTACATTTTTCTAGACTGACTTCCTTTTGCTTCTAAAACCTAAAAAAATATATGTTGTTACTACTTACAGCCATGGGCAGCACATGTAGATATTAATGCAAGTAGAAGCCAAGGAGACTTTGATATATACATTTCTTCTGAAAGATTTCAATACACTGAAAATCTGAATAACATAAACGAATTTATATAGCTTTGTTTTGTTCGTGACAGTAATTTTCGTGACTAAGTCATATTGCAAATAGTATAACTTTATATATTAATAATTAATATAAACATAAAGTACCTATCTATCATGGTACCCAAAGTATTTAATTACAACACTGTAGCTGTTTTGAAATGTTTTTTTTTAAATTATAATAAAACTTCCACATTTTTTTTTTTAGTGTAACAAAACAATAGTTAATTTTAGTATTATTACTATGAATAACTTCTTACACTTATGAGATTACACGTACAATTATAAGAACCCAAAAAATACCAGACATTGCTGACTTTTTTTAAATTATTTATGTACAAATTAAAATTGTACACTGGCGGATTTAATGCATTTTTTCCCAATCTACCATAGGGTGGTGCTGAAATGTGTCACTAGGTGCACTAGAAATTAATGTGTAAAGAAAGAGATTTTTTTTGAGAAGTTGGACAGCAACGATCTGATAAATATACATACATCATACGTACTAAGTACATAAAAAAAAAGCCTTTTTATTTACAGTAAATTTTTACATTTCTTAAAATCTATGTATGTGTTAGTTTTATTTAGTTTATTCTATGTTATTTATTTTTGTCTTATTTAATTTAATTTTATGTGTATTATATCATAGTATTTATAGTTACTAAATTTTTATTTACTCTACCGGAACCCCAGAATGGGTGAAGGCCTCCTCCAGTGATGCCGATTTGGCTCTGTCTTCAGCTACTTGTCTGCAGTTTGGATCAGCTATTGCTTTAATATCATCTTTTCATCTTGTAATAGGTCTACCTTTTATTCTTTTGCCTAGTGGGCCGTTACAGAATGTTACTTTTTTGGTCCATCTACTCGTATGATCTGTTATCCGCGCAACATGTCCTGCCCACTTCCATTTTAATTTCTGTGCGTAACTCAGAGCGTTTGTTGCTTTAGTTATTTTTCTTATTTTAGTGTGTCGTATTTTATCCAGCTTCCTAATCTTTAACATACTTCGTTCGAGTCCTCTCTGACAGACGCTTATCTTTTTTCTTGCTGCAGCAGTGAATTTCCACGAGTAAGTAAAAACTTACAGATACATAAATACTTACTTTACTCTAAGCCTACCTACCTACTCTTTTGTTCTTTCACCAATTTCTAGATTTTAAATTGTAAGTTATATTTTTCTTTATTAAAACTGTTTAAAAGAAAATTTTATTTTCTTTATTGATTTAGCAACATCAATGTGCAGCATCTGCAAGGTTTTTCGGTACGAGTATATAGAATCATTCATAGGTTCATTGAAACTTTCCTTCCAAAGGGGGTCCCATTACTTCAAGACCGGTCGTGAAAGTTTAAAACTACTTAACCTTGCTAAACGACACTAGAAACACATACAGAATATAAAGAAACCTATACTGCATTTGCTATCGGAAAAATTGTAAACCGTCATTTTATAAAATTTCTATAACTTCTGCTATGATGCTTTAGGAAAGTCTTTCCTCGCATATTAAGAGAAGAGATTCTAAAAAGCCACGTGAAAAGTAAAAATAACATTGTACATAGAGTATTTATTTCACAAGTGGCATTTGGAATGGGAGAAGAAAACATGTTTCTCCAACCCCAAACAACATTACGACTAAGTAGACAATACTGAAAATGATTTTCTAGGAATAGGGAGTGAAGTGAAGAGATCTTATCTCTTGAAGTGAAGTGAAGAGATCTTATTCTCTCTCTTATCTCTTCACATCAACAGCTTAGTAAAGGCTGTTGATGTGAAGAGATAAATTTCAATTAGTAAATGCAGCAAGGACGCAAACGGCAAACCCGCCCATTTAGTGCAACTTTATAAAACATGAATATAACTAATCTGACAAATAATAAAAGTATCTTTGCAAGAAGTTTTTAGTTCATTGTAATGTTTACGCATTAAACATCAAATGCGTGTGTTTACAATTGCTTGTTTACAAAGTTAAAATAAACTGCCCCTCCAGCTGACCCTGTAAAGATAAGGTAAGGTACATAAAATTTATTAACAGTTAGAAGAGATTATAGGATTCATAATGCTACCTATCGTACCATATATTAACGACATGGTGAGTCAGACATTATATAGGTAATTATTCTACTAAATACTCATGTTTTATTTGCGTATTTATTTTCATACTAGCTGTTGCTAGCGGCTTCACTTGCGTGTTTATTTCTCATTTCATGTTTCTAACTTTGAAAAATGATGAACTTCCATACAACCAATCATCTCTTCTTTAACCCTCTTAGGGGTTAAATGTTTAAAACCCCTTTCCTAGTGGGTGCTTGCAATATAAAAAAGATCAACTGCCAAAATTTTAAGTTTGTAGCCCCAGCAGTTCCGGCTCAGCGTCAATGAAACATGCAGTATAGGTATGATACTACTAAGACTCACAGTACTAGTCATTTGTGTTATATGTTAATAAGAACTGTACTGCTTAAGGTACGAGTACCTAAATGAAGACCGAATGCTGGCATGAATAATATAGGCCATGTCACTTATCATTAAACATTTGCTAATACTCGTACTTCACTTTTGTTTTATAGTATAAGTCATAGATGCTGGAATTCACGATCATCATCTGTCTCAATTAACTTAAAAAATTACTGAAGTCGACACTTAGAGAAATTGCACTCGACGCTTCTTACATAAGAACATAGAATACAAGATGGAAAAGGAACTAAGAAAGGTGAAGGATCTCAAAGTACAGATTGAGAAAGGCTTAATCAATTTTAAAAAGTCTTCAAAGAAACAGATTACTTAAAACTACGTCGATACGTGGTTAGAGATATTGGAGAATCAATTTAAGATTTTTTACCAAATATGAGGATATAGTCGGCGAGTTCAAAGAAGAATAATTTTCAAGAGAACATTTATGAAAAAGTTAATGGAACCTATTTAAATTTTAGAGTAAAATTAAAAAATACATGGTCTTAGTTAAAATTAAATAGTTAATATAAAGAAGCTTGCAATGTCTCATCCGACAATAAGGTAAAATTTCCCAAAATTGTATTACCTAAATTTAGACGAAAATACACCGAGTTGTCGTCTTTTCGGGATTTATTTGTGTCTTTAGTGCACAATACGCTGTATGTCATCTAATGTTGTATACATTAGATGACGTATAGCGTCTGCACTATTTAAAGACACAATTGTCGGGTGAAGCATAGCAACTAATAAGAAATGTTCCAATAACAGACAGTAATTTTATAAAGTGTTGGGAAACGTTAGGAAATCGGTATAATAATAAGAAATTTATGTCCACGTGTATCTTAAGCAGATTATTTAGCCAACGCAATATTGTCACCGAATCTGCAAATGCATTAAAGGATCTTTTGGATGTTACAAGTGACTGTTTACATGAGGTTACCAGTCTGGGGATTGATGTGAGTTCTTGGGATGTTGTTGTTATTTATGTAGTAAGTTTGAAAATCGATGTAGAATCTAGGAAGCAATGGGAATTGCATGTTAGTGAATTCTCCGACGATAAACATTTATAAATAGACTATTATAAACAGTTTGGCAAGTTTTTAGACGCGTTTTCAAGCCCTTGAATTTATTGAACCTAAAGGAAAATCAAAAGTCACCCTTCTACATCTCACTCCAAGGTAATGCATGGTTCTATTAGTATTACGAGTACATGCCCGCATTGCTCCGACAATCACAAATGAGCAAACTGTAAAAAAAATCCAAAGATAATAGTGACGAGCTGCGTAGTCTTGCCAATTCTTTAGGTGTATGTTTTAATTGCTTAGGACTTAATCACACTGCCAGAGACTGTTGTGTTTTTTTTGAAATGCCGAAGTTGTCAGCGGAAACACCATACGTTGTTTCAACAACGTATGGTGTAAGCCCTAAGAGCCCTTAGAACCCTAGGAGCCCTAGTGCTAGGTCCATACTTGTGGAATATCGGCTTCGACGATTTTCTTGCGATACCAATACCATCCGGATGTACTCTGAACGCGTATGCTGATGACGGCTTATTACTGGTGGAATCTGATACTAGGGCGGGGCTTGAGAGATTAGCCAATAGATGCTGGAACTTAATACCTCAATGGGGTGAACGTAATCGCTTAACTTTTGCACCCAACAAAACCTGCCAGCTACTTTTAAAAGGTAACCTCAAATCACCGCCGAGCATTAAATTTGACAATGTCACTGTAAAAATAAAACCTCAGTGTATTATTTAGGATTAGTTTTAGAAATAAACTTTTCATTTATCGAACATATTAAAAAAGTTATTCTGTGCATTGACAAAGATATCAACTGCGACATGGGGTCTATCATTTAATACATTAAAGATCATATACGGAGCTACTTATTTAGGTTCTATGTGCTATGGTGCACCTGTATGGGCCGATAGGGCGACCGTAGGCGCTGTCCGTCGCAAACTGTTACAAGGCCAACGACTTGCACTGATATTCTCGTGCAAGGCATGAGCGGTGTTAGCGGGTGTGCTTCCGGTCGATCTCGAGGCGCAGAGACATGCAGCCATGTACTATTCAAGACAACAAAACATGGAAAGCGATTTTTTACGCGCGCGGGATCGCGGTAAAATTACAAGATTGCTTCAATAGCAGTCCGATGTCTATAATGACCTCATAGACGAATGGCAACAACGCTGGGACGAATCATTCAAGGGGCGCCATCTTTAACATTTCTTTCCATCTGTTTGCGAGCGGTTGTCGAGGACATGGCTTGAGGTGGATCACTGTGTCGCTAAATTTCTTACAGCTCATGGTAACTTTAAGAGCAAGCTGTATTTATTTAAATTAGTCTAGTCACCATTGTGTCAACGCTCAACACCTATCTCTCACTATGAACAGTCTGCTCATCATATCCTCTGGGAATGTAGTCTTTGGTATAATGAACGTAATATAATGCTGAATAGCTTGCAGGTGACATCTGGGGTGGTATACTATGGGGATCTTGTGTCAACTAGGGTGAATTTCCGTGCGTTTAGGCGATTCTGCCATACATATTATAGTAATCACATATAGCTCACTTAGGACCCGTAATATTTTGTGTATATATAATAAGTGCTTCCCTGTTTAAAAGGGTGAATGCCTGTTTTACTTCATTTTGTCTCCAACTCTATATTTCCCAGTCCTCTAATTTTCTTCTGATTAATTTCGTTGCGGGTTCCAAGACAGTTTAATTTCTTCCTGGGACTTCCCGAGTGTCATAACTCGGTGTGTTCGTGGGTCACTACTGTGGATCCTGGTGTACAAGAGTTACAGTGATGGGCGTGTGGGTGGGATTAGTCCCAAAAAAAAGCCCTAGTGTAACCAGTGCGGTGGTGACACCTACCACTTCCCATGAAAGTATTTCAGAGTCAGAGCCCCTGTCACAGAATACTAGTGCAAACATAGCAACTCATTTTGTGAATGAACGAGCGCAGGCTCAAGTCTTATTAGCCCATTAAGGCTGAGTCACAAAATGGGTCCTCTCAAATTTTGAGAGCATTGGTAGATCAAGGATCGCAAGCATCCTTTTTAACTGAGGCAGCAACGCAATTACTTGTTTTAAGGAAAGTCGTATCGACGACAACTATCGCTGAAATAGGAGGTAGTTATGGTGATATCGTCTCTAGACATGTCGTACACATTAACCTACAGTCATTGCATGAACCCTGCTTTCACCTTAAAGGTTAACTGCACATGTTTTAAGTGCACTGACCTCAGTTATGGAAGACGCCAGCTTTAAGCTACAGAATTAGCCAGAAATTTACAATATTAGTCTGGCGGGCTAGACGGGTTGGTATAGGGTTTGTTTCAAGTTTTCCTTCTTTTTGCAGTGCTGGTATCCTGCGTTGTTTTTCGCCCTTAGTCGGCTTTTACGACAGCCACGGGATGAATTGGTTTAGTGACATTCCTTATTCTATATCCGTCACTACACAGAAATTAATGCGCTAATTAATCCCAAGCATTTTTGTCTTCTATGTTATCCATAATAAAATTGAGTAATAAGCTTTCTGACATAATTTACGTTGTATTGCGGATTTAAATTTGTTAAGTTTTGAATATTATTTGGGACTTTAATATAAAATCGGACACATTGACCTCAAAAAGACTTGTTTATCTTTTGGAGCCTAGAGGCGGGTACTAGAAGTTTATTTCTATTTCTGGTATTTATAGAATGTATATCACTTATTTTCAAAAATCTATCTTTGTTTTTATGAACATATATTACATTTTCATCTATATATTGACTTGCCATTGTCATTATGTTTATTTCTTTAAATTTCTGCCTTAATGAACCACAATTACCCAAATAATAAAGTGCTCTAATTGCTCTCTTCTGCAGTACTAAAATAGTTTGAATGTCGGCAGCATTCCCCCACCATACTCGATAATTTATCTATTATGTTTGCCCCACTGTAACTTAGAATTTAGTGCTGTACCTTAAATGTCTTAGTGGAAACAAGCTCTAACCCGACGTCCTTAATCATCACAGTAGTTTTTACTGGATTGACGTATGGCATGGTAAAACGTATAGGTTTTTGTTCAAACCAAGGAACCACTTTCGAAATGACGCTATTTACGTCTGTAAAATTAGTAAGTGTCCGTTTTAGTCTACACAATAGTGATGAATTATCTGTAAACCACACAATCTTGAGATTGTCCTCGACAAGGTGAGGTAACTCGTTAAAATATACTAAAAACAAAAAAAAGGCTGAAAATAGAACCTCGTGGAACGCCCACTTCTATCACAGAGCCTAGAGACCGCTCACCATTAATATCAACTTTCTGAATCCTATTATATAGATATGACTCAAAAAGTGCCAGTTCTTTATTGTTGATACCATAGTGCTGTATTTTCCTAATCACCGTTTCATGAAAATCATAATCAAAAGCTTTAGATAAATCGCAAAAGTTATTGTGTTGCCCTCTAGTGCCTTTAGAACGGCCATGCTGTCTAACAGTATTCGGATGTTTTAGTCCTCAATACCCTTTGATATGGCCGTTCGCCGTTAGTTATTTCCACACATTCGAATTGGAATATGGAACTGTGTTGGCCTAACACTAGTGATATGTTCATGTATATGCCCATAATTTGGAGTGCGATCCCTCGCCTTTGTGCCACAAACCCAGGTGTCTGAGTCTAATGATCGCCATGGCTACCTACTGCTGTATGAACAAGTTCATGGCTGCCTCCTACTTTGAGTTCCTGAACAAGTCCAGTGGGGGCAGACCAAAAGCCACCTCTAGTGTGGCAGTTGGCGTTGTACACATACAGCGACCGCAGAACATGGGAGTCGCTGGAATTGCTGAAATCTATTTCTTACGGTGTTTAGCTTTGATCTCTGCCATGAGACTACGGCATCGAACGTGATTATCGGTCGTAAGACTTTTCTAGAGTTCTGTAGAGCCATAGTGTAAAGTTTGGTGTTAGTCAGATTGGGGAAGATACAATGCAGAAGACAATGCAGGCTTTATTTAGTAGGCAATAAATTAAACTTGTATTCTTCGATGTGCCTGATGGTATTGGTTGTGGCTCCGGTTTAGGCATTTAGACTCAAGAATGGTCCTTTATGCGTGCCGAGTTGCCTATTCCACAGGAGTTTACAATCTAGCATCACTCCTAGGTATTTGACCTCTTTGGTCAGAGCCAACTGGGTTTGAAATAGTTTAGGAAGTTTGATATTAAGTGGACTGCGTTTGTTTTCTAGTTGCATTCACTGTCAAGATATGAGTCACAATCAATTGTTCAACGATCCTTAGTGCGAATCTCATTTGATCGCATATAACGCTCCCAAAAGGACCACTGATTAGGATGGTCAGATATTTTAGGGAATTCAACAAATGATTTAAACGCTTAAAAGCACGTAGTGCTTGCGTGAATTGTCTCACTTCACATAAAGTTTCTCGCTCTAGGATATATTAAAATATAGAAACTATTTTATTAATGGACTTCAAAATGATTTTATTTTCCTTTTACGCGTTGTATATAGATTCTCTTTTATTTCCAACTGATTATACGCTATAAAAAGATAGACTATAAAAACGAAAAGTTGGTAAAACATTAAGAAAGATAGAAATTAGAAAGTATTTAATAATTATTCAGAAATTTTATGAGCAAGGAGTAAACATCAAAACACGAGGCATGCCTTTTAAGTTTTGTCGTTTGAAGAAAAAAACACAACTAGAACCTTATAGTACTTTTTATTATTTTTCAAAGTATTCACCACGTAGCTTAATACACTTTTCCATTCCCTCAAACCAGTTATTATAACATTTATTCCACTCTAAAGTGGGGGTTTTCAAAATGGCTGACTTGAAAGCGTCGACTGCTTCTTCACCGGACTGGAACCTTTGACCACGATGACTTTTCTTAATTTTAGGAAATGTAAAGAAATCCTTTGGGCTTAGGTTAGGACTGCATGGAGGATGGTCAAGAATTTCTACTTTTTATTGCTTTAAATACTCAATCGTTTGACGAGTGCTGTGTGAGCTTGCGTTGTCGTGGTGCAGGATGATGCGTCGCTTTGAGTTAGATTTTCGAAGTTCGGCGATGACTTGTGGTAAACAAACTATGGTATACCACTCTGCGTTAACCGTTCTACGATCTTCAAGTGCAATAGTCGCAACATGGCCGGTTTTTTCCAACGAACGTGGCCACCATATTCTTTGAAGTGCTTTGAGAACGAACAACTTTCGTCGGCTTTGGCTCGTCTTGAAAGACCCAGATTGTAGATTGTTGTTTGGAATCAGGATCGTATGCATAGCCAAGATTCGACACTACTGATGATGTCATACACATGATTTGACTGTTCTCAGTTGAACCTTTGCAGCGTTTTCTTACACCATCTGACGCGGGCCGCCTTGTGATCGTCGGAAAGCAGATGCGGTATCCAACGGCAAACTAGCTTTCTCACACCAAGCGCTTCATGCAAGATCTTCTGAATGGTTGTCCCTGAGATGCCTAATAGAGCCTCTATCTCTCGATACGTCACATGATGATCTTCGAGAATTAGTTGTCTCACAGCAATGATGTTATCTTCGACGGATTTTTGGCGTCCTTTGCGAGATTTGTCACTAACACTACTATGTCCACGCTCAAATTCTAAATACGTTCGACAGTCCGCAGACATGGGGTTTCATCACTGAATACAGATGTTATTTCTTCAAAACACTGAAGCCGTGTCAGGCCTCTTCTAAAGTTGTAGAAAATTATTGTACGAACATTTCCCTTTGAAAGATTCATTTTCGTACGTAACCTGACAAATTCCAATCGACGCTGTGACTAAACAATAGCATTAATCCTAATACTTTCAACTGTTTTGAGATTCAACATTTATATACGTTCGAACAGTTCCAAATTCAAAATTGCCGGGAAATATTTAAACGACATGCCTAGTCATGATGGTGACTTCAACGCAATGCTACCGTAAATGCATGCAACATATTATTTACTGGCAAATAGTTTAAATAAAGATTTATTCTACGACTATAAACTATTTTTTGATTATTATTTATAAACGATTTTATTATGAAAAATATTAATAAATGCTAGTTACTGTACATAATAGAAACAATAATAAATAGACAGTAACCGATCATTTTTATTATTATACAATATCCGGTATCGCATAAAGTGATGTCTTTCAAACCCGTGGGTAGCTTATTTTGCAATAAAGATAAATGGGGGTGGTTTTAGTATCTGTCGGTGGTGTCATGTCAAAGGGTATTAAGGACTACAACATCCGTATACTGTCAGACAGCATGGCGGTCCTAAAGGCACTGGATGGCAACTCAATGACCTCTGGTATAGTCTTCGAATGCTATCAAGTCTAAATGGAAATCGGAGCTCACAACTTATACCAACACCAATTACTACTAGAGATCTAATATATGTGCTCTGGCACATGCAAAATAATAAAAAATATGTATGAACCATTTTCTTAGTTATTATGTTCAGGAATTATTTCGCCCATTGTTTGGTTTCTAACGAAGATGTCAGTATTATGCCATAAAATTGACATGGCTCTCTTGACTATGGGTTTATGTAGTTTATTTTCTGTTTCCCACCAATGTTGGTTCATGTACGTGGCTGTTTCTTTTACTGCAATCATACAAAATAAATTTAAAACTTATTATTGCGTCAGATAAAATCTAAGATAAATACAATTCTCCAAAGTGTGAAATAATTTCAAATTAACGGGGATCTAGGAACAGCTTTTACGTATTTGTTTATTTGATCACAAACACATCTTACACAGTCCTTTAATAAAACCCAACGCGATATTATTAAGATATCCAGACCTGTGTCTTAACAAACATTTAGACTTCGTGAAGCACATGTAGAGGTCACCGACTAGTTCTTCGTCAGCCCGAGTGGAGATCTTCCTCCCTGGGACCCCTACGCCGCCTCCTTCTGCGAAATGCATCCTCGCAAAAGGGTTTGCACCTCTGGTATAACATTGATTGCTAGTGGCCATGAAGCATATGACATAGGAGTGGTCATCGGAGATATTATCCGATGAGTGCATTGAGGTCCTGTCCCGATACTGCGCCGAGTCCTTACTGCAGTCACAGTGTTGACGGGCGGCACTGAATTATCTCCTAGCAACCACATGCAGTCACTTCTCGAAGCAACTGCACCGCAAGATTCCCTGCTATGCCGTAGCAGGGAATCTACCGCCCTTCCCACTCGAAACCTTACTATCCCTACGGCGACACAGCCCGCAATTTGTTAATTTTGTATTTCAAAATCTTACCTGTGCGGTTGTCTACCACGCAGCCCTGTGTAATTTCAAATACTAGTTTTCCTTTAAGGCGAGTTCTTGAATCATGAGTTTTTACAAAAAAATGTGGCCTGTGATCTTTATTTACAAATACCGAATATTTTCCGTAGTTTAATATATTATAATCATCTGTAATGAAGATTTTTTTTAATAAAGCTAGTATAGGTTTTAGTAAATAATACAGAGACAACAGAACAAAATGAATTTGATTAATGAAGACGGGTAGGCCAAGCTAAAAGAACTAGTGTAACTATAAGTCTTCGATGGTGGAACCGAAACTGAGATATCAGTGACTGAAATTTGAAACAAGTGAACAAAATGAACAATTGTACTACTGTAAAGAGCTATAAAGTTACCATTTATTTCTTTTAGTTCAGTGTTGTTAATCATTTTGTACCCGTTGTAATAAGATTTTTCTTAACAAAATGTTTTAAATTATCTAAAACTCTACGATTTTACTTAAATACGTATTTCAATGATGCTCTGATAGATTGGTGACTAAGTAAGAAATGTATTCAAGACCAAGCGGTCGGGCATCTGTAAACTACACATGAGAGTAAAGCTACAAACGTTTATTTTACACAAATATTTTCTTCCTCTGAGTTTTATACCAAGCTAGGTTGAGGTCTGCTTTTAGTCTACTGGGACATGGCTGAACATTGATTTGTGACGTGGAGCGACTACCCTCAAACCTTCATAATTCAAGTACTAAGCGATATCGAAGTTCTGTGTATAGACTTCTGGTGCCAATTCTGTTGTTCGAAAACTCTCTAAACTAAACTAAAAATCACAAAAAATTTGTTTCGTCCTGTCAAATAACGTTTCCTGTTCTGAAAACGTAGAATTTGGCAGGACTAAATTTTTTTTAGGGATTTTTAGTTTAGTTTAGAGAGTTTCCGAACAACAGAATTAGCACCATTGTCAGACTTTTTAGGACTCCGACTATCCGTAACAACTGCCACAGATATATGGCAACCAATACCAACAGCTTAACGTGCTCTCCGAGGTACGTTAATTTTATATGAATTTAACTAACAAAAGCTTTTATTGTAATATAAGACAAATTATCATTTAATCTATTAACTTAACAGTTTAATAAATACTCACAAGCCACTATCGTAGCTTCACCTGTTCCATGAAGTGCTGGAGTATCCGAATGTTTTTGAGCTTTGTAGTGAAAATGTGAAATCAATTTAGGACAGTACAGATATTGTTTATAGATGTCTTCCGTCGCGTTTACCCTAAAAGTAAGAAATAATATTTGAACACATATATTACTAGAAGAACTTAATTCATGGAAGTTATTTCCATCCATCCAATCACTCATATCTGTATCCTCGTAGGGGTAGACAGGGGCGTATTAAAGGCCCACATTCGTCGACTGTTATTGTAGTCCTACTTACGAAATATGGGGAAAGCAAATTACCGTCAACCGGGTACATATATGTTTGCAAACAAACACACATATGTTTCTTGATGCATATGAATAAATTAATCGTTTTGTATATAATATGTATATTATAGATAAAACAATTAATTAATTACACACAGACATAGAATAAATAATAGTACACATCACACGAATTTTTTCCTGGGTGGAAATCGAACCCATGATCTTTGCATAACAGTCACGACCGCTATACACTATACCAATATATATACTAATATAACGTTTAGACTCTTGAATGAGGTTATTTAAAAAACTGACTAAAATAATATTGTTTTTTAAGTTGACTCTATCGGTGACTTGACATCTTGGGCACCATTTTAGCTTACATCACTTATTTCGAAAAAACCTGGGAACAACGAACAATGTGTAATAATGCATGATAAGGTACATCACTTTCTTAAATGTCGTGATTATATGTTGACCTTCCCTGGCTTCAGCCAGGCCGAATCATTCATTGACCAGTTGTGAGATCTAAGCCAAGCTTTTTCTCCAGACTTAAAAATTTAGGGATTACTTACGTCGCTTTTGTAACAGCACAGATTTTCAAACCATACATTGTAATGTTAGTTAATTTAAATTTCACTGAAGCCATTTCTCCGTCGATTTCTTCCATGTGTAAAGGATCCAAAGGCATGATTAAACCTTTCTGTCCTTTAACAACATTCTTATACATGTTGAATCCGCCTCTTGTGACGCAGGTCACGTTGTCAAAAATACATATTTTTTTACCTAAAACACACGATGTAGACAGAAAGAGACAAACTTATTCCTTCCACGAAACCTCCGTAAGCAGTTGCACTATATATGATTTTCCGTTTCTTTACATTGAAAAATAATATAAATCTTAAGTATTACTTTATGATACGTTTCATATATATATGTAAAAATTTGATGCGCTACTTCGCTGATTACACGAAATTTTATTAGGTTTATAAATTTTAAAATTATTTTGTTTTGTTTTAACTTACAGGGGTAAGTGTAGTAACTGGCGGTACATGTTGTTATTAAGACGAAAAGAAGCAAAACAGAGTTTAAGGCGTTCATTTTATGTCAACGTTTAGAATATACTGAACATGCAAGACATTTACAGAAGTTTATATTGGTTTGTCTATTTATGACACTCATTCTCTGTCTCCATTTTAAGTGACGTACTCGTATTTATCTAGTTTTATCAACTAATTACTTTTTGCTAATTAAAAAGTTTTAATGATCTAAACACAAAGTACAACCGATCTATTGTATATTTTATTTAATTGTTCTATAATAATTAAATAAGTCGAGTTGAGTAATAAAAAAAATATCATCAATTAACTAGCAAGCTCTTAATAATGTACTTGACGACCTTTTGAAAACCTTAGCTATGTATTAAATTGACGATGTTATATTACCTTCTGATACTATTGAGGAAGGTTTTCAAAGGTTTTATTTAATATTAAAAATGCTTTATTGAATAATTATTCTTAGTGTAAAATATTGTATTAAAATATTTTTAGTGTTTCAAAGGCATCTAGCGCTTCTTTTTCATCAACCAGTATGGGAGGGGTCACCAATGTAGGTGTAATATCCACAGATGTATAATAAATTTAACCTATATTTGTAACACGCATGATCACCTCGTCTGGTCGGAGGATCCTCCCTTCGTGTCGGAGGAACACGACACCCGTTCCTATACGGACTATACGGATCTCTGTACAACTCTTGGTACGAACTTGGAATATATTTTGACCGTATTTACTGATGTTCTTATTTACTACCGTCGGACTGTACGAATCTGTGTACAACTGTTGGGAATAACTTGGAATACATCTTCAATTGTATTTACTGATAATATATTTACTGTTTGTTGTTATTTACCACAGCTTTTATGAAAGAAAACCACGATAGTGTGAAAATGATCGTCAGCCTTTTTAAAAACAACCCAGACACTGGTCCTCCGTCGCATACAATTACCACTTATTTAGTAACAATAAAACGGTGTTTTGATGTGTGTTTAGAGGTTTATCGTCGTGTTACTTACTAATACCACCAGTAAGAAGTTAAAATATCGGTCAGCGCACATGTAAAGCAAAGTTCACTGTCTTCGAGACGATGAGACTAAAGAAGAGCGTAGGCAGCGTTTGGAGGCAAACAGAATGAGAATACCTCAAGCGAGATCTACCACGACTCCGGAAGAATCCATAACATCGACTTCAAGGGAGGAGCAATAAAATAGTCAATTCAACGTAACAATTACCTATGAGGGTTTGGTGTTTAGGTATAATACAACAATCACTTACGCCGGCGATAAATCTGTCGATTTTGGAACAATGAGCACTATTTGTCAATATTGTAATGATTTGAAGTTTCTACTCAAACCGCCAGAATTAAGTTGTGCGAATGGAAAGGTCAAATTACCACAACTGACGAAGCCACCTGAACCACTAAATTCATTACTTTCAGGGCATGAACCTCTATCATAGCATTGCCTGCAGAATATTCAAAATTACAATAGTGCGTTCCAAAAAGACATCATTTTGAATCTACCAGAAGTATCACATTTCCTTAGTTAGCGACTGTACACCACCCGTGTGATGCCGAGGCGAGGATAAGTAGGAAGACAAGTCTTTCAGAAATTTCGGAAATGCAGCACGAAGTTCGCTGGGTCAGATAGTATATGAGTATTAATAGATTTGGAGAATTAAACTCACGATAATGTTTGAAGGAAACCATAAACCGATGTTATAATCAAGCATTATGGTACGAGTGTCGTAGTATTTAATGATAGCAAGCGTGTATCTTTTAATCGTAAAAAATACTGGAATTTTAACCGTTAATGTGTCTAGTCTCTTCAATTTAATTTATTGTTAGTATTATGAATAAACTACACCTACATTACAACATATTACATACAACTAATTGTGTGTTTATCACGATCATTTCTTCTATGTCTAGAAGAACTGAAAGAATGTGTACACGACGGTACGCTCCTCTAAGTATTCTGCCACTAGCCGCCTCAGGTGAATGGCAGACAAATGTAAGACAGAGGTCCACCGAGGCTGCCCACTCCTCTACGGCCTCGCCCTTTGCGTCCGTCCTGAGGGAACCCCACGCAGTGGACTTTGCGTTGAGGTCCCCCAGAATGAGGACGTGCCAAGACGCTAGTCGCCGCATCGAGGTCTCCAGTCGCTAAGTCGCTCAAACTCCGGTTGGGGGAGAAATATTTTAATTTATTTTTATTTATTAGTATCCACAGGGTGCGCAACACACGCGTTAGAGGCGCTTCGCTTAGCAAAGTGCATACACACATGCCTACCAATTCTAATATTGCTGTCGTGGATTTTTCCCCTTAGTATATTAAATATATAGGAGGCAAAACTAAGGTCCCTTCTCACTCTAAGCTCGTTATATCCGACCATGCCCAAGACGAACAGAGTCGGATACGTGAGTGGGTAAATAGGTGAACCCCGTACTGTCGAAAATATAAAAAACCTCACAAATTAGTTTTTAACTCGCTTCAGCATGAGACTATATTTAATCGCACGCGGAAAGCGCAGCGCACTAAAGCATTATATAGAGTAGCTATGGCATTAATGTTGGTAAAAGATTGCCATTACCATATTACCATCATTGAACCGTCTCTTTCGAGAAGGCTTTAGCACCGTAGACCACATACACACATTGAGGCAAATAATTGAAAAGACAGAGGAGTACAACCAGCCTAGCGTATGTGGATTACGAAGAGTTGTGGTAGTCAAACAAATATTAAAATAACTTGTATTAATTGAGTGCATTATAAGCATATACAAGTTTTGATTGTTTATTATAATGTCCTTAATTTAACATAAAGTAAGTTCCATTTAATTTACATAAGTGGTTAAGATATTATACTTAATACGAATAAAAGTTATTAAAGTTTGTTATTTAATGAAGTACATACTAGTAGCGTGTGAATACGAGTACTAAGCATGTTTTAACATTTAATAAACGGTGCGTATTACGTAACAATACTTTACAATTTTACAATAAGTATGAAAATAGTAAATTATTATGTTGTGTTATGTGTTATGTTATTTTTTAACTTAGAGGGGACAGACGAGCAGACGGGCACCTTATGGAAAGTGACCATCGCCACCCATGAAAGTCTACAACTCAGGAGTTACAAACTCGTTGCCGGCTTTTTAGGAAGGAGTACGCTCTTTTCTTGAAAGTTTGAAGGTCGTATCGGTCCTGAAATACTGCAGACTATAACCCGTTCCACAGATTGGTTTGGGTACCAGGTACCTCATAGGTAAATGTATACAATCGGTAATGTTTCACACTCTTCGTTAGTTTCCAAGTATTTAATGAGTTGGAGAACTTTATACTAGAAAATATAACTTTATTATAGAAAATATTTCTGTGCCTCCTATTTTTCAGATAGCAACAAGATGCTGTTGGGTCAATTTATTTTACTTTCGACAATATTCGACAAATGATTAGGTACATAAAGTAGGTATATGTATATTATGTTAATATATATAACGCCAGCAGGGCGACTTCTCGAACGATCGTGAGGAGAAGCGTATGTCTCGTGCTCATATTGTATTTAATTTGCTCAATACTGTAATAATATTTCTTCTAAATATAATATACCAGTTAAACATACAGTCCATTTGCTCATTAACTCAAAATCTACAACACTAACATCTACATCACCTTCAGGTCTTTCTACACCGTCATCCAGAAGAAAACCGTTCAAAACGTACTGTACGTAACCGTGAAGGTCACCTCTGCGATCAATGCTGGCACGGCCGGCGAAATGAGAACAAAGGGAGATCAAGACAAACAAACAGAACGTTGAACGTGCGTATTTACAGCGCATTTACATCTTCATCGTTGACAAAACTCAACACAAAGCAGTATAGCAGACGCTCAGGCGCGATCCTGTTCATGGTTTAGGTACTTCAACAGTAAGTTCATTCTGATTAAATCTCTTTTAAATTAGTTTGACACAATTAAAAACCAGGATTATTTAATATTTTGTTTACTTGCCTACTTAATTTCACCCTTTTATTTTTTAAATAATTATTTCGTTTTACCCACGGAAATTTCATTTCACAGCAAAATATAACATTATTCTTCAAATTGCAGTTACACTGTCGCTTCGTTTCGGAGCTTGCCTATGCTATCATGTTAGGAATTATATTTTTGTTGTTAAAATAAATCTATGTAAATAAATTGTAATTATCAATTTATGAAATATTGTCCTATATATAATATATAATTTTTTATATTTGTTTATTTACATATAATTTAAGAGTTTTCTTACAGTCGCTTCATTTGCGCTAGCGCTTGCCCGTAAACTGATGAGCGCTTGACCGTAAACTGATGAGCGCTTGCCCGTAAACTGATGAGCGCCCGCAGGCTTGACCTTGCCTTGCGGCTGACGCTTGTACTCTCTGACTACCTACAATACAACTTTTATACACCTCGGCTTGAAATTTAAGTATTGTTTTAATTTTATTTTAACACAACTCCATTTTAAACATAATTACTTACCTTTCTTTCAGTTACCAATTATTAAGCCCTTAGACGCCAAAGACTTGCAAAACGAAGGTGGTGAAGAATTTAATAATTTAGTCAAAAAGCGTGCACCACTAAAGGAAAAATTAACCATTTATAAAAATTACATCGAGCCTATAAAAAAAAAAACTCACTTCAACTATTAAGCAAAATTCAATTTAGATTTTTCAATTTAAAAAGAATTTTAACCATATAGCATAATAGACATAAAGCCTTTTTACGGTTATTTGACGCGTATGACGTAATCCAAACTTTAATAGGACAAATAATGCCATTTTCAGTTTGATGCGGATTACTAGCAGTACCTTGCCTTCAGCCAGGCGCTGCTTTGCTGCAATGAAAAGCACCTCAACTTGGTTACAAGTTCCAAGGATGACATCGAAGACAGTTCTATTATTACAAAATCATCTTTAAAATTGTCCACCACTGATTTAAAACACTTCTTGGGTGATTATCAACACTGATCTGTCAATAAAAACCACATTGACAATATTCAAGTTTTTTTATTTACGTGCGTTACGAGGAAGCGCTACTGAAAATTTAAATTCATTACAAATTGCAGCAAATAATTACACAGTGGCTTGGAACTTACTGCGTGTAAGATACAACAGCAAATGTTTGTTAGTAAACAATGACATTCACAATATTTTCAGCATTCCTCTCATACAACGTTTGTTATCAAGCGAACTGAGACAACACGACACAGTAAATAAAAACCTTAGGGCTCTCGGCACATTAGATCAACCAACTGAACATCAACAGCCTTTAATAGTCTATTGCTGAACATAGGCCTCTCCTAAGAAAGGAGGTTTTGGCCTTCTATACCACGCTGGCCAGATGGGTTGGTATAGGGTTTGTGTCAAGTTTTCCTTCTCTTTGCAGTGCTGTTGTCCTGTGTAGTTTACCCCTTAGTCGCCTGTTACGACACCCACTAAGTTAAAGTTTAATTATTATTTAAGTTTAATTAAATTATCTAGCTGTTCCTTGATTTCAATAAATTCTAGTGTGTTATAGCATTTATTTGGTTGACTTTGCTGTAAAATAATCTCGTCAAATTCGTTGCTACTGTAGTTAAGTCTATTTTTTCTCCGTTGAGTATTTACATAGATAATTTCATCCATGTTCAGAATGAATGAATGACAAATTTACCAATTTACAAAAAGCACTGTGTATGTTGAGCATCGATCTCACGTCTCAGAAGTCGCTAAGCCAGTACTTACACAACTGAGTTAAACTGGTTTGTTAACAGATGTTTTAAATAGTGAAGGGTACTTTTGTCGTCGCAATATGTGTCGCTAGTGGTTATAAATTAATTGTTTAGTAACACAATGTATATATTGCATGTCAATAAATGCAGTTAACTGATAACGTTAATAATGTAATAGTATTTGAATAGATGTCGCTAGTATCAGTTTTTGGTCTGGCACTGTTTGAATAAAAAACCGTCTTCGTAGCACGGTATTTTACGATTAAAAGACAATTCGCAAACATGCTATTGAAAAAAGGCTTATTTGTTCAACCATAGTCTATTTCACTATACCACACTGTGTTATTTTAACATAATTAAGCGTTTGAATTAAACTTTCTTATAGGTTTACCAACTTATAGTTCAAAGTTTTTAAGTAATTTTCTTTTCGTTAAATCGATTAGGTTCTTTTAGATAACACTGTCACCTGTCACTGTTGACCTTAGGTCTACTTTTAACTTTTTGTACACTTTATGTAATAAGTTTTTATATTTTTAACCATAAATTAACACGAAGCTAAATTGTTTACATGATGGAAAGCGCCAGCTCATACATTGTATATATAAGTCAGCAGCAGGCGCGCGGGCAGTGCGCACCCACCGCCGCTTCTCGGACGATCGGGAGGTTACACTATGTCGCGCGGTCATATTACATTTAATTTGCTCAATACTGTAATAATATTTTTTCTGAATATACCAGTATACAATATACCAGTTAAATATACAGTCCATTTGCTCATTTACCAATAATCTATGATACTAACATCTACATAGTCTTCAAGGGGTCATATGATTGATTTGATAACCCGCCAAAGTGTAGACATCTCTGAAAATATGATCTGTGACTTTGTTTTTGAACAGATAACTCCCGCACTAGGAATATGTCCTGTGTCGCGGCTGACTTTACAAACATTCAGTTGGACACATAGAACATCCAGACTTAGAATAACAATTTGTGGATCACACAAAGTGTTGTCCCATCGAACAGTGCTGAGTGTTGTGGGAACGAACCCACAACACTGGGCGCAGTAGGAAGCGGCGAGGTGACCGCCTAAACCACTACGCCATCCGTGCAGTCGATTACTTAGAACACGGGTAACATAAAATACAGATATAGGATTAGACTATTTTCGTTTTCGTAGTAGAGCCATAGTTTGTCAAGGATGGGCTGGCTCGACTAGAGTGCCTCTCAGAAAACCAGTGTTAAGTAATTCTTTTGTGGCTTTTCATGGAGTATGTGAGGCCGAAATGCCCCTCAACCTCAGGGGGGGAGGGGCAATGCTAATGTTTTAAGTTGCAAGTATCAAAGGGCGGCAGTGGTCAGTTACCATTACTAACTGTAATGGTAACTGACCACTGCCGCCCTTTAGATTAGACTAGATTGGATTTTAATTACATACATGGCTGTCGGCGCATGAGCACCAAGCAGCAGCGGGACAGAAGAGGACAGCGGCGCGAGGAGGCGATCCTCTCGGGGCGATATCCACTACGCGCAATACATTGGTCGGCAACGCTCGCTTTACATATTTATTTTGTTGTTCATAATAGAAGTCCTTTTTATACAGTCCATTATATGTAATTGTATACCAAAATCGTCGGACTCTGCTGGACATTGGTCCTTAAGTTTTATTAAATAAAAGCGATTCGAAAAAAAACCAGCAAGTCTCCCACAAACCGTTCATCTACACTCTTAGTTGAAGATATCTGACTTAGTGGGACGCTTTGGATAAATAAGTGAGTTCGTTCCAATCAGATTTCCTTTTCTTCGTGTAGGCTTCTATGTTACGATTTTTTTGTCCTTTGTTTTCTTTCCATACCACTTTTCGCCTCAATTTGGAATAAACAAATAATTTAACGCTCGGTCTTGCCTGCTTGCGCCATCACATCTTATTGCGCTTGTTTGCATTTGTGTAGGCTTAAGCGCTGAGATTAAACTATTAAAGATAAGATAAGGTACATAAAATTTATTAACATTCTAACTCGTAGAAGAGATTATAGGTTTCAAAATAATACCTTACTATCGTACCATTTATTAACGATTAGGTGAGTCAGACATTATATAGGTAATTATTCTACTAAATACTCATGTTTTAGTTTGTTTACATACTAGCTGTTGCTAGAGGCTTCACTTGCGTGTTTCTTTCTCATTTCATGTTTCTAACTTTGAAAAATGACGAAATTCCATACAACCAATCATCTCTTCTTTTACACTCTTAGGTGTTTTAAATGTTTAAAATTGTTTGGATATTGCTACTAAGTTTTATACCAATCCCCTAAACTGTCAGTGGTAGGGTCTTTTACTGGTTGCTTTAAGTGTTGTTAGTATTTCGTCATCACTGTTTACTAGAAAACGTTGTAATTTACGATGTTTCAGTACTTAACCTAAAACTTGTTACTTAACCTAAAAACATCCGGACACGTGGGACAGGGTAAGAAATGACTGCACTAAGCACAATGTTGGCATTATCGCTAAGATCGTTGGACAGCTCGGATGTATCTTGTTGGACGTTGTTACGGTAGTGGTTTAGCAAGAAGGGTGTTGAATAATTATTCGGGAATTTTATGATCAAAGAGGAGTAAACATTAAAATAATTATGTCAGTCATGCAACATATATTATTATTTACTGGTAAATAGTTTAAATAAAGATTTATTCTTATAAAATAAAATAAAAAATAAGAAATAAATGCTAGTTAATGTCCATACCATGTAATAGCAACAATGACAGATAATTTTTATATAAAGCAAACACAAAATATCCAGTCCTGTCATAAAAAGCGATGTCTTTCAGGCTGTGGTTGGCTTATTAGTAAAAAAGATATATGTGGGTTGTTTAAGTGCCTGTCGGTGGTGTATAAAGTAGTTTAGCAGAAGTAAATAATTGACCATTAATACCCTTTAGTGTCTCATTGGTTAATATTGTTTACTACAATACTATTACTTATACTAGATTTGAGGACATGCAATAAAAAAATATATTCATGAACCATTTTCTTAATGTTCAGGAATTATTTCGCCCATTGTATACTTTCTGACGAAAATGTCAGTATTTTTCCATAAAATTGACATGGCTCTCTTGACAATAGGTTTCTGTATAAAATCTTCTGTTTGCGTCGAATGTTGGTTTATGTACGCCTCTGTTTGATTTACTGTAATGATAAAAAATAAATTTAAACTTCTTATTGCGTCAGATAAAGTCTAATACTTGTGAGGATTGCTGGGACGCAGTGGTCTCTTTCTGTGAAGCTGTAATGCTCCAGAAAGAGACCGCTGAACGGGATCGGGAGAGGGCCGATCCCGAGGGAAGAAGACGTCGGCGGCGGAATGAGCAGCCAATGGGACCGCGAGCCGCCAGAGAGTGGGGACCTCTGGTGGCAGATAAATTGCTGCGGCAGGGGATAGGACGGCAGCCCGAAAATGTGATCGGGCCGCAACATCTGAATAAGCTAAGAGGCAGGTAGAAGCCACTGGCTTTCCCTGAGATGGGGCCTAGTTAAATGCGGCGTCGATCTGAGACCTGAAATCACGTGGCCCGGGTTCTCCCCAGAGCAGGGCGCTTAAGGCTAGGCTCGGGCTCGGAGTGGTTTTTAGTCGTAAACACCACATACTCCTGGCTCCTATATCCCCAAGGAGCCGGAGATCCGAAGGGATTTTCCACAACAAAAAAAGACAAATATACTTCTCTAAAGTATCAATCATCACCATCATCATCAGCCTATCGCAGTCCACTGCTGGACATAGGCCTCCCCAATTGCACGCCACTTAGATCGATTTTGGGCTTCTCGCATCCAGCTCCTGCCAGCCATCTTGCGCAAATCGTCACTCCACCTGGCCTGTGGGCGTCCTACACTACGTTTGCCGACACGCGGTCTCCACTCAAGAACTCGTTTTCCCCAACGGTTGTCGGTTCTGCGTCTAATATGGCCAGCCCACTGCCACTTCAACTTGCTGATCCGGTAGGCTATGTCGGTGACCGGTTCTCTGCCGGATCATCTAATTTCTGATGCGATCCCTTGAAGAAACGCCGAGCATAGCCCTTTCCATAGCACGATGAGCGACTTTGAACTTGTGGACCAGCCGTACCGTAAGTGTCCACGTTTCAGCTCTGTATGTCATGACGGGTAGGACGCACTCATTAAAGACTTTCGTCTTAAGGTACTGTGGGATCGACAATGAGAAGACTCGACGTAGCTTCCCAAACGCTGCCCAACCCAACCGAATTCTTCTGTTCACCTCGTCCTCGAAGTTGTTTCTACCTAACTGCAATCTCTGCCCGAGGTACACATAATTTTGAACAACTTCGAGAACGGCACCGTGTACCGCAATCGGTTCCGGTAGTACATGTTCGTTGAACATGACCTTGGTTTTATCCAAGTTCATCCGTAGGCCGATGCGTACAGAAGTGTTAGCTAGGTCATTCAGCATTTGCTGTAGGTGTTGCAACGTCTCTGCCATGATGACGATGTCGTCTGCAAATCGCAAGTGAGAGATGTATTCGCTATTGATATTTATGCCACGACCTTTCCAGTGCAGCGTCTTGAACATGTCCTCCATTGTATTTGTAAACGATTTCGGGGAAATAACGTCCCCTTGTCTCACTCCTCGATGCAATGGTACGGGCCTTGTTTGCTGATTCTGTACTTGGACGGACATGGTGGCGGCTTCATAGAGACATCTCATCACTTGGATGTATCGCCAATCTACTTGGCAACGCTGCAGGGACTCCAGAACAATCGATCGAACTCGATCGAGTCAAAGGCTTTCTCATAGTCCACGAATGCTAGACACAGGGGCTGATTATATTCTTCGGTCCTCTGTATAATCTGCCGCACTGTGTGGATGTGGTCTATGGTGCCATATCTGCTCCGAAACCCAGCTTGCTCCGGTGGTTGGAATTCGTCGAGTCTTTGCGCAAGACGGTTCGTGATGACTCTCGAAAACAGCTGGTGGACGTGGCTTAGAAGGGATATGGGTCGATAGTTCTTCCACCTGGTCTTGTCACCCTTTTTGAAGAATAAGACGACCACACTCCTACTCCACGATTCCGGAGTTCTCCCTTCAAACAGGACAGCGTTGAAGAGCTTTTGGAGCTCCCTTAGTACGGGTTCAAACCCGGCCTTTAGCAGCTCTGTAATAACGCCATCCTCTCAAGGGGCTTTTCCATTTTTCAGATGTCAAAGAGCCATCTCGATTTCGTGACTGATAACTTCTGGCAGATCTTCGGTGTAGTGACGTGATAATGTGGCTTTAGAGTCCTCATTTTCAGGATCGGGTCAAGATGCATGCGAAGCGTATAACCGGCCATAGAAGCTTTCCACTTCCAAAAGGACTGCCGGCTTCGAAGCAACGACTTCTCCACTTTCTGTGGTCAACTTTGTCAGGTGGCTTCTTCCAAGAGATTGTACGAACACTTTTGACCCCCGATTTTGCTCGATCGCTCTTTCAATTGAAAGAGTATTGGAGCACCGGAGGTCGTGTCGTACGAGTTTACTGATCTCTCGGTTTAGAGTCCGCTTTGCCGACAAAGTGACAGGTGGGTTTTCACGTCGTTTCTTCATCAGCCCTAGGGTCCTTTCTAAAAGCTTCGACTTCCTGCCCTTACGCTGCATTTCACAAAATCTCGTACCTTCTTCCCTGAGGATCCGAACCACATTTTCGAGGTTCTGGTTTACGTCGATTGTGGTTTCGACGGCAGCGAATCGGTTTTCCAGTTTCGACTGGAACGTTTCAGATCCTGTTATGGCTTGGAACAGAGTCGGTCGGAGCCTGGATTTCATCAAACAGACACGTTTCGCCTTAAAGTTGATATTCAAAGAGCCCCGGCCAAGTCGGTGATCACTTCCGGTTTAATACCGGTAGTGATCACTGAGACGTCTCTGAATATGTGCTTTCTATCCGTCATGATGAAATTGATCTCATTTCTGGTCAGAGCGTCGCGGCTTTGCCACGTCCACTTCCTTTGGGGCTGTTCATCAAAGAGTTCATCAAAAAGAGCCCCTCCCGTTCGATGAAGTTGACCAGCATTTGCCCCCTATGATTCCTGATTCCAAATTCATGTGATCCTACTAACGATTCGCCGTAATTCTGTACTCCCACTTTAGCGTTGAAGTCACCCATAACAACGTTGTAGTGGGTTTTAGTTGTAAAGTGGAGGGCCCTCGATATGTCATCGTACATATCCTCCACCTCGTCGTCCGAATGTGCCGAGGTCGGTGCGTACACTTGCACAACCTTGAGGCTATACCTCTCGGTGAGCTTGATAATGAGGTACGCTACCCTGTTCGACACACTGGAAATTTCCACAACGTTGTCAGATAGGGACTTATTTACCAGAAACCCAACGCCACCTTGGGATTGTTGGTCTCCCTCGCGGAAGTACATTAGGTGGCCTGACTCGAGGGTATGGTTAGGTGGTATGCCTCCCCCTCTCTTCGGACTTCACATAGCCTTAGGATATGCCACTTAATCTGCCCAAGTTCCACCTCAAGTTACGCCAGATGCGAGTCTAGCCGTAGCGTGCGTCCGTTGTATGTAGCCAGGGTCAGTCGGTTGTGGTGGCCTCCCGTAGCCCGGAGATTCTTCGCACCCCCTGCCCCGCCTTTAACGTGGTCGCCACCATGACCAGGAATAGCAGGGCCGCCGGGAACTGGGGGCCGTGGCCTTTGTTGTGTCTGCACGGGGTTTGCCCATAATCGCCACGCTGGGCAGGCGGGTTGGCGATCGCAGGGCGTAGCTTGTCGCACCGGTAACGCTGCTGCCCGTCACCAGCCTGTTGTATTTAGAAAGAAAAGTTTCACGGCCAGTTTTGACGGCTATTTAAAAAACCAGAGCCAATTCGATAATTTACGGTTTAAGAATCTTTATTTCTCAAAAGAATTTACAAAATTAACTTACTGAGAAAACATGCATAAAAGTAAACAAAATAAATCCATAGAGCGTTTGAATATAATATAAAGTAAAAGTGGGTAGTCAAATATATTTTGCGTAAGATTACGAACTTGCAAAACACTCGAACACAGAAAACAATGTGAATCTAAGCAACTGAACCAAAGATGTAACTTGAAATTATTTTAACTGGACCTCAGATTGGGATTCGAGACGTATACTCTGGTTTGTGGTTCTCAGAGATGTCTGCTTGTGTAAGAGTAAAAAGGGTAAGAAATTTTGGACCAAAAAATTAATCGGCTAGATCTATCTTATTACAAATCCATTGGTAGAATTCGGTCCTCACACTTTGTATACTCGCTTACCTGTAGCGCCTGCACTATAAATAGGTGCTTTTATTAATGTTGTGCACACATGCATGTAACCGACCAACATTATACTTAAGTGTATACGTCTCTATTATCTGGTTATAATATAATATGTTTGTGCATTGTAATATCATACATACAAAGATTGGTACAAAACGAGCGTTCGCATATGGACATTACGGTGTTACTGTATTTATGACCTTTGACTGTACAAGTACATGTGGATGTCATCGCCCGATCCATCACCGGTCCGAGTAGAGATCTTCCTCCATGGGACCTCTACGCCACCTCCTTCTGCGAAATGCATCTTCACAAGAAGGTGCAACTGTGGTATATTGGGACTAATCCCGCCCACACGCCCACCACTGTAACTCCTGTACACCAGGATCCACAGCAGTGACCCACGAACACACCGAGTTATGACACTCGGGAAGTCCCAGGAAGAAATTAAACTGTCTTGGAACCCGCAACGAAATTAATCAGAAGAAAATTGGAGGAGTTTCAAATACAGTAAATCCACTTCCCTCCTTACTTCCCTCCTTAGCAAAGCGGGAGACAAAATGAAGTAAAATGGGCATACACCCTTTTAAACAGGGAAGCACCACGGCCACGAAATATTACGGGTCCTACGTGAGCTACATTTGATTTCTATAATATGTATGGCAGAATCGCCTAAACGCACGGAAATTCACCCTAGTTGACACAAGATCCCCATAGTATACCGCCCCAGATGTCACCTGCAAGGTATTCAGCATTATATTACGTTCATTATACCAAAGACTACATTCCCAGAGGATATGATGAGCAGACTGTTCATAGTGAGAGTTAGGTGTTGAGCATTGACACAATGGTGACTCGACTAATTTAAATGAATAAAGCTTGCTCTTAAAGTTACCATGACCCGTAAGAAATTGAGCGACACAGTGATCCACCTCAAGCCATGTCCTCGACAACCGTTCGCGAACAGATGGAAAGAATTGGTAAAGATGGCGCCCCTTGGATGATTCATCCCAGCGTTGTTGCCATTCGTCTATGAGGTCATTATAGACATCGGGCTGCTGTTGAAGCAATCTTGTAATTTTACCGCGATCCCGCGCGCCCAAAAAATCGCATTCCATGTTTTGTTGTCTTGAATAGTACATGGCTGCACGTCTCTGCACCTCGAGATCGACCGGAAGCACACCCGCCAACACCGGCAAAGCCTCAGTGCTAACCGTCCTATATGCCTTGCACAAGAATATCAGTGCAATTCGTTGGCCTTGTAACAATTTGCGACGGACAGCGCCTACGGTCGCCCTATCGGCCCATACAGGTGCACCATAGCACATAGAACCTAAATAAGTAGCTCCGTATATGATCTTTAATGTATTAAATGATAGACCCCATGTCGCAGTTGATATCCTTGTCAATGCACAGAAACTCTTTTTAGACTTTTCATTAACTATTTTAATATGTTCGATAAATGAAAAGTTTCTTTCTAAAACTAATCCTAGGTAACACACTGAGGCCTTATTTTTTACAGTAACATTGTCAAATCTAATGCTTGGCGGTGATTTGAAGTTACCTTTTAAAAGTAGCTGGAAGGTTTTGTTGGGTGCAAAATTTAAGCGATTACGTTCACCACATTGAGATATCAAGTTCAAACATCTATTGGCTAATCTCTCAAGTCCCGCCCTAGTATCAGATTCCACCAGTAATAAGCCGTTATCAGCATACGCGTTCAGAATACATCCGGATGGTATTGGTATCGCAAGAAAATCGTCGAAGCCGATATTCCACAAGTATGGACCTAGCACCGATCCCTGAGGACATCCCATTGTAAGCGCCTTCGACACAAAATGATGACCAAGTCTTAGTTTAGTAGTACCTTGTGAAAAGTACGTAGTGGTATAGCATTTGTTGCTAGTGGCCATGAAGCATAGGAGTGGTCATCGGCGATCCTATTCGATGACCACTCCGATGTCATAGGTCCCGTCCCGATACTGCACCGAGTCCTCACTGCAGACGCAGTGTTGATGGGCGGCACTGAATTACCTCCTAGCGACCAAATGCAGTTACTTCTCGAAGCAACTGCACCGCCAAGGACCTACGTCAGTGAGAAAGAAAAGATTCCGTGCTACCGCCCTTCCCATTCGAAACCTTACCATCCCTACGGCGACACAGAAAGCAATTTTTTAAATTTGTATTTCAAAATCTTACCTGTGAGGTTGTCTACAATGTAGCCCTGTGTAATTTCAAATACTAGTTTTCCTTTAAGGCGCGATTTCGAATCATGAGTTTTTACAAAAAAATGTGGCCTGTGATCTTTATTTACAAATACCGAATATTTTCCGTAGTTTACTATATTATAATCATCTGTAATAAAGAAAATTTTGATCAAGTTACTATAAGTTTTAGTAAATAATACACTGACAACAGAACAAAAGGAATGAGGTTTATAAAGACGGACACGCCAAGCCAAAGGAACTATGGTAACCATAAGTGTCCAATGGTGGAAAAGGGACTGAGACAAGTGACTGAAATTCAAAGACAACTCGAACCCAATCAACAATTGTACTGCTGTAAAGAGCTAGCAAGTTTCCATTTATTTCTTTTAGTTCAGTGTTGTTAATAGTATTGGAAGATTTTACTGAAATATTATGTATTTTAATGATATTCTAATAGATTGGTGACTAAGAAAAAACATTATTCACAACCAAGCCGTCAAGTTATCGATGGGCATCCATGAAATACACATGAGAGTAAAGCCACAAACATTTAATTTACAGAAATATCTTCTTCCTCTGAGCCTTTACCCAAGCTAGGTTGAGGTTTGCATTTGGTCTATTATGACATGACTGAACATTGATTTGTTACATGGACTATCCTCAGACCACGACAACTCAAGTACTAAGCGATATCGAAGTTATTTAGATATATGGACGACTGCCACAAATATAAGGCAACTGGGACCGACGGTTAAACGTGCTCTCTGAGGCACTTTAATTTTACACGAATATAACTGACAAAAGCTTTAATAATCAAATTATAATTTGTCTCATATTACAATTTTAAACAAATTATCATTCGATCCATCAAGTTAACAATTAAATAAATACTCACAAGCCTCTATCGTAGCTTCACCTGTTCCATAAAGTTCTGGATTATCCGATAGTTCTTGAGCTTTGAAGTGAAAATGTGAAACCAATTTAGGACAGTACAGATATTGTTTATAGATGTCGTCCGTCGCATTTACCCTAAAAGTAAGAAAGAATAGTTCAACACATTTATTACTTGAAAAATTTAATTCATTGAAGTTATTTCCATCCATCCATACACCCACGTCTGTATCCCCGAAGGGACAGACAGGGGCGTATTAAAGGCCCACATTTCGTCGAACGTTATAGTAACGTCAACCGGGCACATATATATTTCCCAAAACACACGCTAGATGCACACAGACATAGAACTAATAACAGTACTCATCAAACTATATTTTTCCTGGATGGAAATCGAACCCATGATCTCTGCATAATAGTCAGGATCGCTAAACACCAGACCGATATATATATACTAATAGAACGTTTAGACTCTTAAATGCGACTGTTTTGACAATACTGACAAAACTAATATTGTTTTTAAGTCGACGCTATCGGTGACTTGGGTACCATTTTTGCTTACATCATTCATTTCTAAAAAAATAAACCTGTGAACAACACACAAGGCATATTCACACATTACATTGCCACAATGCAATGATAAGGTATATCATTGCATTGCCACAATGCAATGATATATCACTTTCTCTAATGCCGTGATTATATGTTGACCTATACCGATCTGATATATCTGATACCGAGTTGATATATTCCGATCCCTGGCTTCCTGGCTTGAATTAGGAATTGACTGTGCCAAACTTTTTCTATAGACCGTATAATCAATTTATACGGTCTATAGAAAAAGTTTTAAAGGATTACTTACGTCGCTTTTGTAACTTCACAGTTTTTCAAACCACACATTTTAATTTTAGTTAATTTAAATTTCACTGAAGCCGTTTCTCCGTCGATTTCTTCTATATGTAAAGGATCCAAAGGCATGATTAAACCTTTCTCTCCATGGACAACATTCTTATACATATTGAATCCGCCTCTTGTGACGCAGGTTACGTTGTCAAATATGCATATTTTTTTACCTAAAACACACGATGTAGATAAAAAGAGACAAACATATTCCTTCCACTAAACCTCCGTAAGCAGGTGCACAATGCATATTTTTTACATTTTTTTGATACTGAAAAATAATATAAATCTTAACTATCACTTTATGATACACTTCATCTAAATGTAATTTTTTAGTACTTCGCTCATTACACCAGATTTTTTAGGTTAATAAATTTTAAAGATAGTTAGTTTTGTTTAACTTACAAGGGTTGCGGGCGGCACATGTAGTTATTAAGACCAAATAAAGACAAAGAGAGTTTAAGGCCTTCATTTTATGTTAATGTTTAGAACATACTGAACATGTAAGACATGCACAGAAATTTATATTGGTTTGTCTATTCGTGACATACATTCTCTGTCCCCATTTTAAGTGAGGTATTTATATAGTTTTATCTACTAACTACTATTTGAAAATTATAAAGGTTTAATGATCTAAACATAAAGTACAGCCTATCTGTTGTATATATTGTTTAATTGTTCTGTAATAATTAAATAACTTGAGTTGAGCAACAAGGTTGGCAGCGACCTAGTTGCTATAGTTGTATTAGACAGTAAAATTAAATGTAAGTTACTCTTGCGATTCATGAATGCAAGTAGCATTAGAGCAAGTAAGTCTATAATAAGATCCCTTTTATTTATTTATTTATGACTTTATGCACAAATGTATGCATCGGCGGACTTAATGCCTAAGGTATTCTCTGCCACCTATTCTCTTTTGACTATTATATTCGCTAATAAACTTGAGGTAGTGGTAAGGTAAAATAAAATATAAATTTAAAAATAGTCGACCCGATATCCAACTCCACTAAAGGAGTAATAAACAGTGAAAAATAATTATAAACTTAATTGAAAAGACAGAAATAATTTTGACATTTAAATAAAAGAACTTCTATTCCTTTGAACTTTTTCTTTATTAGACATAGTCAGCTGTTATCATCAGATATCAATACACTCTGATTTGAACATTATGGGTAATCTGAATATTACTATAAATTAATTTAAAGCATTAAACATTGGAAAAAACTACCATCGATTAACTAGCAAGCTGTCAATAATTTACTTGACAACCGTTTTAAAAACCCTTTTAATACTATTAAGGAAGGTTCTCCAAGGATATGACGTTTAGTACTAAAAATGTGAAATAAATGCTTTATACCAAGTTTATTTATTTATTTTTATTTATTTATTAATTGGTTTACCAGTAATTATTACACAAAAACATTCGTAAAAAATAGAACATAGTATTCACCTTAATCTAAGTGCATAACTTATGTAGGTAAACACCGCATGCATATAATCTAATATGGCTTTAAAAAAAGAAAAAAAATACTACCTATTAACAAGGGTTGTGAAGAAGGTTGTAGAACCTATAAACGAATATTACAGATAGGTACTATCTCCAAATAGAACAACAATTAGTACATAGCTAATCGACAGTAAGGTTGTGGACTCGGTTCGTTGAATTTTTTTGCAAAAAATATCTATCTGCTTACTGATTTGATTGTATTTCTTGCCGTGCAACAGGCGAGTTGGAACCTAAAACCGACTTTCGCAAAGGAGGATGTAGGAGCATCATTGGTTCTCGGGGATATTTGTGAGGTATATTGAATTTAAATTTTGAAAGTAAATCTGGGCAATCAATATTGTTGTGTAGTAATTTAAATAAAAATAACAAATGAGATGAGTTCCTGCGTTTTTCTAATGAGTCAATTTTGAAATATTTGAGGCCTTTCAAGTAGCTTGGTTGTTTCTTTGCAAGACCCGTAGAGTAGGCAAGATGGTTCAAGAAACGCTTTTGGATTCGTTCAATTCTAAGGCTATGTGCAGCATAGTGAGGACGCCAAGCTACGACACAATACTCAAGTATGCTTCTTACAAGGCTATAATACAGTACAATTTTAGTTTGAGGAGAGCTGAATGGTTTGCTATTTCTAATAAGAAAACCCAGAATTTTTGACGCTTTCTTTACAACTTTCTCCATGTAAGGAACAAGAGTTAGTTTGGAGTCAAGTATCAAACCTAAATCTTCGATGGTGTCTACGTGGCCAAGTGGTATGCCGTTTATATTATAACTATATTGTAATTTATTCCACTTACGGGTAAAAGTTATTTGGAAACATTTCTTAACGTTTAGTTGCATATTGTTATCATTATACCATTCCAAAAGTCTATCAATATCACTCTGAAGCAGTCTCAGTTTATCCTCCAAAATCTGGCACACAGCTGAAACAGTTTATTGCCCTGTATCCAATTTCAGCTATTTTATTACGGATTTTTCTAAAAGGACCCCCCCTTTACGTATGTACTTTTTATGGATATTCTCAATCGCCCAAAAATTGTACTTAAAACTTTTATTTATAATAAAAAATATGTAAATAGATTTGGAGAATGCTCACGTAAATTGAACTCATGATAATGTTTAAAGGAAATCATAAACCGGTGTATTGTACTATTATATAGTAATCGTGCATTGTGATAGTATGTAATGACGCACGTAACTTCCAATCGTAAAAAATATCGGAAATTTAAACGCCACACTTAACAGGCAGCTTCACTCAAAATGCGGCAACGCACTTGTATATCTTAAGTTGCAAGTGTCAAAGGGCGGCGGTGGTCACTTACCATGATGTGACACGTCTACTCGTTGATATACGGATATCATAAAATAAAAATAATTCGTTCGACATAGGATAAGATAATTTGTTACATTCAACTTTTTTCATAGGAGCTTCAGTTTTCGCTCGAGACGCGAAAAACTGGTTTTACCATTTTTTTGGCAACAGCTGATAATATTTTGTTACATTTTTTTGCAATTGCAATCAATTCCTGATAGTTGAATCTTTAATACAAAAAAAATTTCGCTGCTATTGGAATTTTCCGTACCAAAAAGCTAATTTTACCTGTCTAAAACCTATTCTAAAATTCAGAAACAATTATGTGACAATGTTAATTTTCTTGTAATATTTAGACAAGATTATGTGAATTTAAATATATTTTTGAGTAACATGCTAGTTCTGATCTCCAATAGAATCAGTTTAATGATATTTGTACCACTATTTGGAGTAGCCCTTATAATTTTCTACATATTAACAAAGAATAATCATGAAATAGTGGAAGGTACAGACAGAATTTTGATTCTTTTTTAAAATGTTGACCCAAATGTATCAATATAAGTAATTACCATGCCAAAAAATATTAAGTATTATTTCTTCTTAAGCTGAACACATACACATATAACATGGAGAAAAATATTAACATAGAGGTTATAAAGTCGGTAAACTCTATAAAGAATAGAATAAAACATATGAAGAACATAATAAACATAAAACATAGAAGTGCTGTAACCTGTCACAGATTCTCTTAAAACCTTAGTTGATTCGAATATAACTTTGGGAAATATTAAAAATGTCGAAAATAAAACACTCGAACACTGATGAAATTAACACGAGCACATCTACAAATTTTTAAGATTATTACAATTGAAAACTGAATTCTTCTCAATTCATTGAAACTCCTAAAAGGAGTTTACCGATGAATTAGAAATGTCCTTAGAGATATGATAGCTGCCGTATTTATGACAAAATCAATATACCGTTCGGTATTAGAAGAAAAAACAAGATTTTATCGGTGCGTAATTCAGTGGTATCATTTTCTAAAACTGATAGTTTGAATAACGACAATATAATTTTAGTTAAAATCGGAGACAAAGATTACAATTTGACAGCACTTTGAAAATAACTTTTACTCAGAAGAAAACCCGATTTAAAGTTAATATCGAACGAAGTTAAGATTGTCTATAATGATATGTTGCATACACAAATGAACATAAAAAAAATTGCCCTCAAGGACAAATAAGAGGTGACAAAGGAATAAAATATCGTGAAATAATTCAATCATTATTTGCTGAAACATTTAACGGAAAAGTTGATATTAAACTTGGAGGAAACTTACCAAAACTAAAAAAATATAAAAATAATACTTAGTATACTAGGATGATCCCAATGGTTGAGAGCTTAAAGTTGTAAGTGGCTTCAAGAGATGCTGGTTAAATTAAAAAAAAAACACAAATTTACCAGCAAAAACACAAAGAAAAGAAAAACATCGCAAAGTCTTTACATAGCAAGCCTCAATGTAAGAACCTTATTATCGGATAGTAGAATAGAAGAGCTATACGCTGTTATGTCAATAAAATGGGACATTATAGGCTTATGCTTAAGAGAAAAAGAATCAAAAGAAGAATACAATGATTTTGGTTTAGGAGAGGCCTACGGCAAAGAGGCGACAACTACTAGTAATATATAGTTTATTATAATAAATAAATATATAACAATAAATAATATATAATTTAACCTTTCAAACCATTGCATACCTACTTAAAATAAAATATATTATAGTAATCGTAAAGAAAACGCTGTAATAGTATATATATTAATCCTAAGTATAAGTTGTAATAGTACAACTTGTAGTAGAAATAAAGGCTATTTTTATTTTATTTTTAACATAATTAAGAAATGATATCAACTATCAATAATAGATATTTAATTTAGTTCAACATACTTATCCCTCGTGGGCAAAGGGCAAAGGCCAAAGACAGAAATAATAAGTAATTATTAAAAAAATCTTGCTTGGACCTTTCCTTTAAAGGTCAAAATAAAGAGATCGTATGTAACATTTTAAGATTTTGTTGGATAGAGGGCGTGTACCTAAAAATCTGCAAATTGTTTTTTTTTTCAGTACTTTTTATGCACAAATGTGCACACATAGCAGATAATCTATTAGCCATAACGATTGACCATGGCTAAATACAATATGTCAAATGCACGTTGCAAAGATAGCTAGTTAGATGGATGGATGGCAGAAATATATACTGAGGTGACGGATTTGTACCTTATTCAAATTATCAGGTAATTATTTTGGATATTCTACAAGATAATTGTGTTTACACTAAAGGTGCAGAAAAAGTTCTATGGTTAAAATGCATTTTAAAACACAATATTGTAATTAATTTAGAAGATAAAAGTTGTCCTCGTTTGTTAAGCTTTTATGATCGACATAAGGATTCTGCATTTCGTATAGTACATGTGCTTTAAAAATGTTGTCAGTTTAAAGAAATGGTGCTTTGATAATAATTTTTTTAGATAAATAAGCATTTTTCTTATTTCAGTCAGTAATTGACAAATTTGATATGTTATCTTTGAAACTATGTATAAAAACAGTGTCTATTTAGGTCTAAAAAAACTCTCAAATCTATTCTATCTTTCAGAACTATTTTTATTTCAATAGTCGTTATCAAGTCTACCGTAGGACCGACTACGATTTTGGTGTCGGTAGGTCACTCAGTGAACCATTACGGCTAGGCGGTGAACGCTGCACGCTCATGTTTTGTACCACACTCATACAAAGTCACTAGCGAGAATACAATGTTCGGGTGTGCGAGCGTCTTGTGGATCGCCAGTAAGCGGGATAAAAAATTAGAAGAAGTTTCTTTTACCCGCGGGGGTGAAGAGCGCTGCTACCGCGGTGTGTTTCGTTCACAATGTCACATGTGCCAGTAATTTTTGTGATGTAAACTGAACTTTGTTCCTGTAAAATAATGCTTAATGTTGTTAAACTATGCTATTGATCTTCCAATTAATAACCAAATATACGTCCGCTTTGTATTTCGACTATCGGGTGTGAAGGTTATAGAATACGATATGAATTTGACAACTTGCATTAGCGGTATAATTGGGAGCTTCTGCATCGCGCAGCGAGAGCAAGTGATGTTCAGCATCAATTCTGTCCTAATTATATCCCACTGCCATCGAAGAAAATGAGTGTCTAAGGACTACAAATTAAAACCACGATTAATTTTAATGATATTATACTAGATTAGATTTTAATTTTTGTAGTACCTAGGATTAAAATGTAGACGTATAATATATTTGTTGTTTAATAGCATAGTGTCGATATATCCACAAAAACATCGAATCAAAGAACAATGGCGGGTCTTCATACAAAAAATATTTGAAATCAAATTTTTTCACTGTCTTGTAGTGAAAAAATATAAAAGAAATCGGCTATTTTTTAGAATCTACGTAAAAAACAATTTTTGTTTGGAAAAGGGTAGGAAAATAATAATTAGCATTTAATGTTTTCAGTTACGCCCTGCATCTATGGACTGTCTTTAAAAGAGTCCATAGATAAAGTCTTTATAACATAGCTAGGTACTTAATGTTTAATTTATTTTATTAATTTGTCTATGGCTATCGACTTTTCATAACTTTTTGATAATTATAACTGTATAATATGTGTCATTTAAATAAAAAAAAGATAATAAAGAATTATTATAGTCCACTAGCTGTAGAACTTTCGTAGGTTATATTTTTATGTCACTTTTAATGTCTCTGATGCATGAAATAATCATCTTATACATAAGTATATTTATTTAATTGGAATACAATTGGATATAATGACTTAATATTACTTAATATTAATTACATGAGTATAATTGGATATTATATATGCGGATGTACATAGCTACATCCGCATATATAATATCCAATAAGTATATTCCTTTTCCTTAATTTATTACCTATTTCAACATGTAATGAATCGTAAATTCAAAAACTAAACTAATATAATCGGCGGCGGCCATTCGTGTCAGACGTTTAGTCTTTATTTTTAAACACAGAGCGCAAACATCTGTAAAGAGTTCTCAAAAAACCATTGCTTTTTTTCAGCTTGCAGTTGCCACTTTATTTTTTTTACTTTCTTATATTCCACTACAGGATTTTCAAATTCGTAAACAATGCATTTAATAACGCACTACAAACTATATTATTTATTGATTCAGTACTTAGAATTATAAAACTATTATCTGATTACCATATTACTATTAAGTGATTACCATATTATGATACTTTATTGGACAGTATTTCCACTACATGAAAAATATGGCCATAAAATGGTAACACTAAACTGATAAAGTAAATTAAAACAATCAAATAAGCTTATAACATTTTTCTTTCTTTTCCTGGGGTATTACTGACTTAGGTGATAGTTTCAAAAAACGTAGATATTTACTAGAATTATTTTCCTGTGAATGACATTTTAAGACCCTCAAATTATACTCAACTACGAATTCGCCATTGTTCTTTAATATATCTGCAAAAAGTTACATTTGACTTATGACTATTTTGTTCTTTTTTTTGACATATTCATAGGCGGTGCTATAGCTGAAAAAACAAATTAGTATGTATAGAATGTTGAAAAATCTAATTTCTATCATATTGTATTAATGTTAAAAATATAAATGAATACTAAATGATAGTAAATATCATCTCATTTCATCATCAACAGCCTATAACAGGCCACTGCTGGACATAGGCATCTCCTTAGCAAGGAGGTTTTCGACTACTGTACCACGCTAGCCAGACTGGTTGGTATAGGGTTTGTTTTAAGTTTTCCTTCTCTTTGCACTGTTGTCGTCCTGCGCAGTTTGCTCCCTTAGTTAGCACTAACGACATACACGGAATTATTACGGGTCATTTCATTTTTATTAGCTAAATATTTATTCACTTTCAATAACATTTACTGAATGATTAATTGAAAATAGAAACGGAGCCAAGTAAAAGAATTTATTTTCAAGAATTATGCCAATTACATGAGAACTTATTTAAACTTAAAAATAACAGTTTCACACATTGGTCGTCTAGAACATTTTGATATTTAGTGATTATTACAACTATTATTGAAGTTACAAAGAAACAAATATATCTATTAAGTGAGAAACGAGCGGTTGTTCAGAATATAATGAGACTCAACAGGTTAAATGTGTTAACATTTCTTATATGTGAGGGTAAACTGTCATAAAGTTGGATACCTTCGAAATTTATATTCTTTTCTCCATAATTAGTTCTTATTTTTTTGGTAGAATAAGTAGATTTGCTACGTATGCTAATATCAGATTTTTTAATGAAGAAATTGAGAGATTTATACCCGTTGAATATAACTAACTAACCCCCTATTATTAAGTAAATAAGACACCAAAACCTACTTTCTAAGGTGAGGCATAGGCCTCTAGAATGGACATAAGTCTAGTGGACTATATAAAGGCTGTTGATCATGAAGATACTAGGAGGCTTATCTCTATATTCTTTTATTAGTACCTTTAGATTATGTACAAGATCAAATGCCTCCAAAAAAACAAAAACCCAAAGGTATGTACATGTTGTGTCTCACAGCGATCACTTCATGACGTGTGTTGTGATGTTGCCATCTAAATTAACCACATCATTAAAACACTAACGTTTAATGATATACCTATCCACATTGTAAAAGGTATTTTATAAAATTGAATTTGATATCAGGTTACTTTACAAAAAACCCAAAGGTGCACATTAAGTTTTTTAATTATTCAAAAGATGTAATTGACCTGCCAATTATAAAATGATGTTGAAGAGGGCTTATATAAAGTTTCAAAATATAATTTGTGTTGTACTTTTGATAAAAGATACAAGGTTTAGCGAACCAATTTAAAACACAAATACGACCGTTTCCAATGTTCTTAATTAACATCCTACGATTTGCATCTAGGTGTATGTGCCTTGTAGGTGAAGACACATACACCGTACACACGTATACATGTTTAAATATATCGACTTTTTTTTCCTTTTTATTTTGTTCATAAGTCATTTAATATAGGTACAGCGTCACTTATGAAATAAATGCGTTTTCTTTCTTTCATTCCGACTTTAACATTTAGTTCCTAATTTTATGATCATCAGATACCTATTAACACTTACAAGTTTAAACTTTTGCTTACTTGGAATGCTTAAGTAAATTGAATTGATAGACCGTAAGTAAATTGCACATATAAATATAACTGTAGAGAAAATAAAAAAATGTTGTCATATTTTTTTAAGTTTTTATTTCACCAGTGCATTTATTAGATATTGAATTTAATATATTTAAACATACTACATAATATATAAAACAGAGCTGTAGTGATTCCCATGTGCTGAAGTTGAGTTTGTTTAAAATCTTGAAATCTTCATTATCACATTTTCTCTTTTTAGGTGCACCTCCATGTTGAATGGTGGTTGTTTTTGTTGAAATGATATTAGAATGAAGGTTATGTGATAAGCTCCTCAGACCAGTACTAAAAGAATCAAGTCTTTCAAAGTGCGTAAATTTCAGTGAAATTACTAATTTTTAAATTTTATTTTCCAAGAATTTTGGGATATGCAAAATTTATATGTATACATGGTGCTAAAACTTCTCCCAAAGTTAATCGTTCCTTTCAGGAAGTACTTCTCCCATTGTAAATTTTCTAATGTAGACGTCAATTTTAGATATTAATATTTTCATGGCTCTCTTGACAATGGGTTTATGTAGGAACTTTTCGGTTCGCCTCCAATTGTGATTCATGTACTTAACTGTTTCATTAACTGCAAAGAAAACAAAATGTTTTAGTTACTTTCATTGCTCAAAATTTAAAGCTTTGTTGTAAAAGACGTAATATTATTAGTGTGTTTTGACATATCACATTAATTATTGTATCAGAAAAAATATTTACCTTTATTGGTGCTAGTGACATGGGTGTTGGTAATTGCAAATTCTAGTTTTCCTTTGAGGTTAGTTTTTGAGTCTTGAGTAATAACAAAGAAATGTGGCCTATGATCTTCATTTACAAATACTGAATATAACCCATAGTTAAGTATATCATAATTATCTAAAATAAAAATAAAGTTAATTATTGTTACTGGAATTAATTATGATTTTACATACTTTTTTTACTTATTAATATTTCGTGTCGTATACCGTATTCGTATATCTCTAAATGTAGTCATTACAAACGAGGCCTATGTTATAATGTCAGTTACCATCAATTGTTAGTTTTAAAATTTAAAAAAAAAAAAACCACCATAGTAAAGACGAGTGATGGCAATCGTAGAATAGCCCGTCCCTTTTTTTTTAACGTGGGGAATGCTTTTCGCACCATTAAGTAAGAGGCGCAGCAGTGTCCGGCCTTAGATGACACCCCCCTGGTCGCACCGCAGAGTCACCTGTCTCGGGCGTTTGCAGCGGCCACATTACCCCAAGATGTAGCCGCAGCGACCCTTAGGCAGCGACTGGGGAGCTAGGGACTTCTTCCGCATCCCCTTCGCTGCCTCCTTCGATCGGGATCGCCCGATCCCGCTCTGCGGCCGCGGCTGCCCATCCTCGCCACTCGCCAACATTGCCGCGATTAATGCTGGAGAGTCGCAAGTTTCATCCAATCTGTCCGACTAGGACTCGGATGCTCGGACTCCAGTGTGTGCTGGATGGAGTCTCTGTCGCGGTCATTGTCCGATTCGATTCAGATACTCACTGAAGCAACCATGCCCGGTAAGCATCTGAGTCAATCGGTAGGTGACACAGTCGTTCCTTCCTACCCACGCTTCAAAGCTCGGCAGGAGGGCTCCGATGGTGCGTTGGTTAGCACAGCCCTGAATTTCGAGCCGTGGTTGCCACGCCCATAGCGCCACTTTCCGGGCTCATGATCGACAGCGGCCTCTTCAACATTCCGACCGACAGAGCGAACTTGGTCATAGATCATCGCGTCCATGTCGGCCAGAATGTCGAAGAGTGGATATCGGCGGAAAGGTGAACGGAGCCGCCTCAAACGAGATCGTACGATAGCCCCGTAAGATCCGTATGGCCATCAACCGCTGCAGGCTCTTGAGTAGAGCCTTGCAACGGGAGGCACCCGCCAGGTCATTTGGCCAGACGGGCCCCCCATAGAGGGCCATGGATCGTACGACGCCCATGTAGAGGCGGCGAACTTCTTCCCGTTCTCCCGAGATTGGGCAGAAGAAATTAATGTTGATTTAGAAAATAAAATATGCGGTTTTGCACACATGTCTATAGGGATGTTCGTCAACTTCCCCGCTTGAACGGCTCCTTTATTTCTAACAGAAAACAATGTAGGTGTCAATTTACTGATTGTTTCAATAAATACTCACAAGCAGCTACTGTAGCCGTTCCTTTTCCACTAAGCACTGGTTTTTTCGTATTTTCCTGAGCTTCGAAGCAAAAACGTGAAACCAATTTAGGACAATTCAGATATTGACCATATTTATTTGATGTCGCGTTTAATCTAAAAAATGAAAGCAAGAATTGAATCTGCGATGAAATTTATTTTTTTACCATCCTTAGGTATTTAGGAGTCGAAATGAGCACTACAACATTAAAATGAGTACGAGTCTGATATCACATCTATTGCTATTGGTCACTAAAGTCCACTCGCGCAAACGAAATAGTGACACAATGATTGATTGATCAAGGCACAGGGCTCGATAGATATAGATAGAATAAATCGAGCCCTGTACCTTGATCAATCAGGTTCCATGCTTACGTACGATACGATAATTTCTTGGAACCTGATTGGTCAATTTTGACGTGACAACGTCTTATAAATTGGTTTGCCGGGTGACACTTCAAGAAACTGCGTTACGCTCCGCTCACGTTATGCGCTCACAATGAGAGCGAGTGAGAGGCACGCGTCCCTTCCACTCGGGCATGGTTAGCCCGCCTAAGAGCGAGAGAGACAGACATAAAAAGTGAAAGGCGACATAAAATTTTGTTAATATGAAATTCAGTGCGAGATTCTTTGTATAAATTAATGTTTTAAATATAATTCTTTGTATAAATAAATGTTTTAAATTGTTACTATTATTTCATCCTTCTTCCTACTATACGAATGAATATTCACATTAAAATTATTTTACCACTCAAAGTCGTTGTCACGTAAAACTTTCGCCCGTATACCGATTTTACAGGCAACCAATTTTTTTGCAATCATTTTGCTGTCACTATCGGCATGAAAGCAAAGCTTCTTACACCCACAATCTCGAATTATTTGCCACGTTCAGACTATTGTTAAATTTTGTCTTCTATCTCCGAACCAATAAAAATACAGCGGCAACGACGATTTGAATAGTTACTTACGTTAGTTTCGTGACTGTACAGTCTTTCAAACCTTTCAGTGTGATGTTCGTTAATTTATATTTTACGTTTTCCAATGTTCCATCAATTGATTTAATATGTAGTGGGTCTAAAGGCTCAATCATCAAGTCTTTAACTCCATGTACAACAGTCTTATAAACGACATATCCTCCTTTAGTAACACATTTCGGGTCGCTTAGAATGCATATTTTTTTGCCTGAAACACACGACGTATGTTTGAAAAAGAGAGATTTTAGTAACCATTCATTCCAAAAAAACATTAGTTAACAGATTATAATTATAAAATTATATTATCAAGTAATTTGTCAAAAACAAAATACTTGGCAATGTTTTGATTTTGGTATTTATTTTGGTTTGTTTTTATAATTATAGAGTTCGTTTCATTAACTTTATTTTATTTGATTTAGTCAATTAGTACGGTTAACAAATAATTTTGGTCATTTAATTTATTGTTTTTATTAATTTATGTTTGTCTCTACTTACATGGTTCAGCAGAATATGTATGGTATATGAAACCAAGAAGAACGATAAGAGACTTTAAGGTATTCATTTCGTCTGAGTGATTACAACTTACTGATCATCCAAGACATATTCCCAAATTTATACTGGTTAGTTTGGTCATGACACACATTCTGTGCCTTTAATTCAGGCGATGACAATGTAGTTTTATCTGGTAATTAATTTTTAGTTCGTAAGGGTTTGATAATATAAATTTAAATACCTATCTTTTACGTCATTCTGTTTAATTATTCCACATCCTACTTAGTAAAAGGATGAAACGTTATTCGTGTGTTGCAACTGGAAGCAACGTATTTGACGATTTTAATAAATTAAACTTAATGCGTAAAGAGAATTATGCACTTTAAAGTAAATTTCGTTGGAGGAGGAATGTGATATTTGGAATACTTACAGTTTACACGGAGATAAAGTTTAGAATATTAAAATTTATTATCATTTATGAATTATGTGAAAATTCCAAGAAAAAGCTATTTATTTATCTGTTTGACAGCCAGAAGTTGTTACATTATTATATTCATCGTGTCAACTACTAAATTGGAACAATACAGTGATACTTCATTTATTCGCGTAATTTAATTAGTAATCACTTAATTTATGTAAGAACTATGAAATCAAAATCTATTTACGATGAATTTATTTATCGACGTTTAGTGTACGTGGAAGCGCAGATCAGTCTCGATCGAGCGATCGGGCTGTACGGATCTGTGTACGACTGTTGGTAAGACCTTGGAATACATCTTTAATTGTATTTACTGAGGAAAACACATTTATCATGCAAAGAAGTCATTTTAAAAACAACCTAAACATCGGTCCTCCGTCATCAGAAAAGGGATACATCACCGCATCACCTATTGCACGCCACTTACATCAATTCTTAGCAAAGCATCACACCACTTAGTCTTTGGGCGTCTTGCACATCACATCAACAAACTGTAATGGGAGGTTTTGGCCTATTATACCACGCTGACCGGAATGGTTGGTATAGGATTTGTGTCGAGTTGGGTCACGCGGCGCGGCGCCTTTCCCGCTTTCCGCGGTGGGCTGTCTCCAAGCTCGACCTACTAGAGGAGACGGCCATTATTCACTCTTGGCTGTCTCCGCAGGCCTCGACCGAGGAGGTCGACATGGGGGCTGGTCGCTTCTGCGATGCGATTACGCAGATTTGCGATGCGGCCATGCCCCGCGTTCGTGGTTGTCGGCCTCCAAGGAAGACCTTGGGTGACCTTAGGAGTTGGCGGACCTCAGTGCGGCCTGTGTACGTGCCCGGAGGTCCCTCACCCGTAGTCGGCGACGTCACCGCGGGGTCGGTGGGGAGGTGGACCGGCTTCATGAGGAGTACCGAGAAGCTCGGAAAACTCTGAGGCTGGCCATCTGCCGAGCCAAGGATGCTAGTAGAGAGGAGATGCTGGAGAGTCTCGAGCGTGACCCCTGGGGTCGCCCTTATCGTGCGGTGCGTCAAAAGCTCCGCACGTCGGGCCCCCCCCTTACGGAGACTCTCCAGCCCAGCTTCCTGCAGGAAGTGGTCGAGGGCCTATTCCCGCAGCGGGCAGAGCACACACCCCCGTCGATGGCTGCATCAGCTGGAGACGTCGGGGGCAGCGAGGCGGATGTTCCGCCCGTCAGGGAATCGAAGTTGGGGGCGGCTGTTCTACGGATTCGATCCAAGAACACCGCCCCCGGGCCGGACGGGGTTCCAGCCCGAGTGTGCCCGGGTGTCCTTGGACATCGCCAACGCCTTCAATAGTCTGCCATTCAGCTGCATCAGGAAAGGGCTCCGCTACCACGGAGTGCCAGAGTATCTGAGGCGGCTGGTGGCAGACTATCTTGAGGAGCGAACCGTCATGTACGAGGACCGAGATGGTGTCTTGAGACGCAGGGCCATGTCGTGCGGTGTTCCGCAGGGGTCTGTCCTAGGACCACTCCTGTGGAACATTGGATACGACTGGGCCCTTCGAGGGCGTCTCCCCCCCGGGCTGGGTGTAATCTGCTACGCGGATGACACCTTAGTTACGGCCCGGGGGGCTAACTTCCAAGAGGCGGCGGGAGTTTCCCTGGTGGTCGGGCGCATGGAGGCGTTGAGGTTTACGGGTGGCCCTGGATAAGACGGAGGCCCTACTATTCCATGGGCCCGTCGTGGTCCACCCGCCGGCGCCTTGATCGAGGTTAGCAGATGAGGTACCTGGGACTGGTCCTTGACAGTAGGTGGCTCTTCGACGAGCACTTCCGACAGCTTGGTCCAAAGTTTGTGGACACTGCCTACGCCCTAGGGCGACTTTTGCCTAATTTTGGCCGGGCCAGTGTTCCCACGAGGCGGCTGTACGCGTGGGTTGTCCGGTCCATAGCGCTGTATGGTGCACCGGTGTGGGTTTCGGCTCTGACGGCCCCGAATAGGGCGCGCCTCTGGCGCCCCCAGAGGATATTGGCGGTCAGAGCCATACGCGGATACCGCACGGTGTCCACCGAGGCGGCTTGCGCCTTGGCCGGAATACCCCCGTGGGAAGGCGGAAGTACTCGCCGAAGTCTATCGACGAGTGGCTGACTACCGGGCGGAGAGCGGATTTCGCCCTCCGCCCGAAGACGTGCGCGACTGGCGCGAAGCCGCTCGCTTAGCTACCATGGTCAGATGGTCGTTCCGGCTGGAGACACTTTTAATGTTTTGAATTGCTTCTATTTACTAGATCGTCAAGGCTGATCTGTGCGTAGATTTCAAGGTCATCCGCATACAGAAGATCGAGAGTAACGAAATTGATAAACATCGAGAATAAGAGCGGAGATAAAATACCACCTTGCGGAACGCCAGCAGCAAGATCATACTAACTTGATGATGCTTCATCAATGCGGACCGACTGCCCGTAATAGTCATTGCGAATGCAAGGCGCACTGCAATTGATTGTGCTCATGTTTGTTGCGGCTGTATGATGATCTCTCTCCTTCCTGAACGATTGAAAGCACAGCGTTGGCTTAGTTCAGCTTCAGAATTACCCAGGAAATAAATTTGAAGAAATTTGTAATCACCATCAACTGATGTCGACAATACTCCTGCACGTAATGATTGTTTTCTTGAAGCTGTAATATATATATAAATATAAGGAAATATTTAAAATAATCTTCATTTATGAAGCCTCAATAGAATTTACATATGTGTCGCATACTAAAAAAAAACATTCCTTAACAGTTGGATTGAAACCACTTTCTATAATTATATTTGCACCAAATTATGTCATTTGGAACGCACTACTGTAATTTTGAATATTCTGCAAGAAATGCTTCGGTAGAGGTTCATGCCCTAAAAGTAATGCATTTAGTGGTTCAGGTGGGGTCGTCAGTTGCGGAAATTTGACCTTTTCATTCGCACAACAACGAGTCGAAACCTACACTAAGTAACCAATGGTAACCAGTCTGCAGATACCAACCAACTAAACTATGGTAACCAGTCTGCAGATAAATATACTTACGACCGTGCTCATCACACCATATTTGTCCTGGGTGTTTGTTGGCTGATGTTATCTTCCATTATTAACGGCATACCTTCCTGTTTATTATAAAATAAACAGCTGATTATTTATCTTAAAAAATTGCATTTTTCTTTGAATATTAAAATAACACCTCTTATTGGAAAATCCTGTATAAACTCATACATACACATATTTGACACAATACATCATACATACAGATACATACGTATATACAATTACACACATACATATATATTCAACTATATTTATATAGATACATAGACATATTATATTCGCACACTATGAATACCGGAATTTGAGGTATACTGCCATGTCGTTGAGAAGGAGATCATGTACCTTTTTTTTTTTAATATAGAGCGGTTGGTGGACATCCTGACTTCGAGCGGGAGCGCATTCCAGAGTAGTACTGCTTGAACAAAGAACGAAGAACTCACGAAGTCAGAGTTGTGAGAGGGACATAAGAGAAGCAGATTATTAACTGAGCGAAGATTTCTGTCGTGGTTAGTGAACAGGTACCGGAAGTAGGGAGCAAGGTAAGTAGGTGAGGACGGTGAGTTGAGAAATGAAAATAGAGAGGTAAGTGCACGCTGTTTGCGGCGCAAGCGAATAGGTAACCAGTTTAATTGGACCGAAGATTGACAATGTATCGAATGCAGTTATTGAGGAGACGGTCTAGCTTATTAAGAAGGTCTGCATTCAGGTCGAAATAACACACATCACCATAGTCAATTATTGGGATTATTAAGGACTGTATGAGGGTAGTTTTCGGTTTAGGAGGAAGGAAATTCTTGAGACGATATAATGCTAGCAAATTTCCGGTTATTTTCTGGCTTACACTAGTAACTTGGGCTCGCCAATCGTGGGTTGAGTCGATAAGTAAGCCCAGATCTTTGACTGCTGGGCTGAATGGAATAGTTAAACCATTGAAGACGATGGGTGAGATAGAGGCAGTATCCAATCTTTAATTGAGTTTACTGGCGTCTTTATTTACTGACGTCTGATTGTACGGATCTAGGTATAACTGTTGGTAAGAACTTGGAGCACATCTTTGATTGTATTTACTGTTGTTATTTACTAAATCTTTTATGAAAGAAAATAACACGCCAATGTAAAAAATTATGTCATCTTTGCTAACTTCACTCTTTTTAAAAGCAGGCTAGACATCGGTCCTCCGTCATATTAAATTGAGGTTGCACATGCACATCATTCTAAGGCCGTAAGAGTAACACTACATGAAAGTCGAAAATAGAAAAACATCTATGAGAGTTTAATACTAAATTGAATAAAAATAATCTATCGAAACAAGCTTATTACTATTATACAATGGCAACCTGTTGGTCTAGTGGTGAGTGATCCTGAAGACTAAACCGGAGAAAGTGGGTTCGAGTCCCACCCAGGACAAATATGGTGTGATGAGCACGGTCGTAAGTATATTTATCTGCAGACTGGTTACCATAGTTTAGTTGGTTGGTATCTGCAGACTGGTTACCATTGGTTACTTAGTGTAGGTTTCGACTCGTTGTTGTGCGAATGAAAAGGTCAAATTTCCGCAACT